GAGTTCAGGGGCGCGGCCAAGAGGAGGACAAGGCCCAGCCACAGAGCTCAGCCACAGAGTTCAGGGGCGCGGCCAGTGAGTGTGGCCAGCTCTTTTCTTTCTAAGACAGAACCCCAACAGTAAACTGTTTGGGGAAAAATAACAAAGACCTTCCTGGCAGAGCTCCTGATTAAGGCATGGTAAGGCATGGTATACGGCCGTCAAGAAAAAGTCTGAACCCCAGGTGCGAAGTATCTTTCCACGGCCTATCTGACAGGTCTCAAATCAAACCTATGGTCCGGAAACAAGTCCGCAAGGAGACAGAAGAATCATGAAGTATCCACTCCTCCCACGCTGCACTCGCAGCTACTCGCCACCAAGCAGCTGAATCTGTAGAGGGATCGATGGACACATCCAAGCCTGTTGAAGAGCTGACCACTAAGCGTCGGCCTCAGAGCGTAGCTCGGCTCGGACTTTTCTTCGAGGCCACTCAGCTATCGCAGCTGCACTTGTATGCGCATGACCGCGACATGTGTGGCATGTGCTTTCTGAGGCAAGGGAAACTACAGCAAGCAGCTCAACTCAACCAGGAGATTTATGTCATCTGTCGCTTGGCTGTGAAGCATCCAAAACAACGACCGGTTGGCACCACATCTGTCACCAAAGGTGCCACTCGTTTGAGTTTTGCATGGCTTCGCCAGGTTTGGGTATACGAGCACATGAATCACATGTCTCTTGATTTTCGGACGCCTCTGGTGGAGTTCGCCTCACATGCCTCACACACGGACGGCTTGCATCCTGGGTTTCCTCACGTGGTGTCTGGCAGTCATCACAAGGCCTTGGATAAGGCCCTTTGGTTGGCGAAGGATTCCGGGATGGTGGTAGCCGACATGTGGTCGTACGTACGTACTGGACGGTTTTCATGGGTCGGCTTCCGTCAGCTTCCAAGAAAACACTGAGTAGTAGTCATCGCATCTTCATCACCACACCTGCCCCAGTAGCCTTGCAACGTTGCCTCCATTCCCAACACGGACCACCCAAGTCAAGCCTTCGACCTCAACAAAAGTGGACAGCAAGTATCTGCAAGGAAAATTATTCGGCCAGGGGGTCTCTCCCATTATTGGATCGGTGCAAGGGAGAATCACCCTGGGGCCTGGCTTTCACCCCCAAACACTTCTGGGTGTCCTCTAGATCTTCCCTTTAACAAAATTCAGGGATCCCTACTGCACCCAATGTTACCCTACCGTATCCCTCTCTCTCCCTCATCTCTCTCTTTCTCCTTCTCAATCTCTTTCTCTCTATCTCTACCTCTCTACCTCTACCTGACACCTCTCGGCTCAAGCAACGCCGAGGACGGCGCAGCGGCAGCTGCGCGTCCGAGTCTTCGGACACCTCCACCAATGCCAGCCGCCGCCGGGCCGCCGCCGCGGCGACCTGGTTTGGACGGGTCGGGGGGACGGGTGGGGTGGTGGCTGAAAGAAGGATGTCAACCTTCCAGGAACTCAAGAGGTAATTGTAGGATGTATTATAATGTATTATTTGCAGTATAGTTGCAGTCTGAGGATGCGAACCTTCCTAAATGATGAAACATCCCTATGTGTCTCTCCTCTTTGTGAAATTTGATGTCCCAATTGGCGGAGCAGCTGCATATCTACATACTATAGGTGTCTCTGCAGCGGAAGAACCCTAGGGGGGCACCATCTGGCCAGCAAACTAACTTCACTGAAGTCGTTGGGAACACTAGTGTTTTTAGGAAGAGCTACTCACTGAATTCACTATGGACCTACTTCCGAAGGGTGGATCTTGTACAGCTGGATTCTTCAGGACGGATTCAACCAAAAGACGACTTCAACATGAACTGGGCAACATCACCAGTCATTTGCAACTAAAGTCCACTAGATTCTCCAAAACGACGGGATTCTGGGTGAGGTCGCTGCCAGGGACGGCAACGTACACAAGAGTCCAGAAACCCCAAAATCTGCCTGCCAAAACCACAAGTTGAGGATCTTTGAGGTTTCGAAGCTTCCAAGTAGTCATACAGCCTCAACATGGAGACCTGATGAGACCTCACGTACCGAAACGCTAGCAGTCGACACGAGTCGACACCAAAGCAAGTCTCACGCACTGCCTCACCAGAAATTCACATCGCTCCAAACAAATCGCCAACTCATCCAAACCTGAGAGCCCCCCGCGACAATGCGTTCCGGAGGAATGCCCAACAAGATCGCCAGATTCGTCTGGAACTGATCGGCATTGAACTCCTCGATGCTGATCCTGAGGCTGTGGCCATGAGCAACAGCTTGATTCAGGAGGGCAACAGAAATATATGTATATATAGTAGTATAGTCAACCTGGAGTAGATACAAAATCTATGAAAAGCCCAAAAACAATACGAAACTGGTCACGTTTCTGGATTGGTTCATATTCAAAGTCTATCTACTACAGGATGATACAGGATGGTTGTTCATAGTTGCCGTACTACCACGTGGGAGAAACAGCCGCAGATTTTCCTGTACAGCCGGATTTACTGCAGTCCAATGACGGTCTGGCCGTGGGCATGACATGGACTGTGCCTCTTGTCATGATTCAAACACATCTTGTGGCACCTTCGAACACCTTCGACAAGGCTCTCGATGTTCATCTTCAGCTTCACCGTGGGCGTGCGTCGCACCACCAGATCTTGCCGGGCCTGACTTCGGACGAATCGAATCGACGGCCGAGATCGGCAGAGGTGACCATGTCACCATTCCAAATTGATACTCTTCGAGCAACCAAAGACCACGAGCACGATGCACGCGACCGGCAAACAGATCAGGAGAGGAGGGGCGAACCTCTCATCGAGGCTTTGGCAAAACGAGGTCATGGAGCCTCCACGGCCTTTGTGTGGAAAACGCCCAAAGAAAAGGACCATGCTGCCGAAACAGGCACAAGAAGATGTTCCCGGGCTTCCAGGCATTGAAGCTCTCAGTGGAGCCCTCAAGAGTGATGTACAGACCTCGGCACTTCGACCAAGCGTTGTCATGATCGGTCCGATAGGTCGTCAGTCGTCAGTCAGTGGACTGTCCACTCCATGGGCTTTCCGCACGCAACGCCTGCGCATCCACGGTGTGGGAACCGTGCCTGCCGCAGGCGGCGATCCACGGTGTGGTGTTGGAACCGTGCCGGCCCAGTCTCCAGTTCTATGCCAGTTCTATGTTGGCCCAGTTCGCCGGTGGGCCCGTGTTCAGATCTTCAAATTGCTGGTCCCCAAGAAAACACCCAAATCGAATTTCAAAATGTGACTTTGTTCTAAATGACTTTTCCTTGATGTCAAACAAATGGCAAAAGCGGCTCAGGAAGCAGCAGGAGGACCCGCTAAGAACATTCAAAGAGCAGCAAAAGTCAACAGGCCAGAATGACAACTCGTAGATTCTAGAATTGAGGGATAAGATTGCCAATGATTGCCAGCTACTGGATGTCTGGTTGCTTGTAAAGGAGCATGCAGCGCGTTATCCATCGTTGTATCCCACTCCAAGTCTGTCAAATCTGTCATACTCAACAAGGCGTCTTCCGTCGTCAAATCAACCATGCCAGCATGACGGATCTGCCAAAGTCGGTTTTCTTCCCTGCGCGCGAACGGATGGGTCCAAGCTGTTTCCTTTGTGCTGGACTTCTCTCAAAAATCAGATCGTGAAGACTGGTTTCTGAGAGCGAATGTGCAACTGAGGAACTCATCAAACTTCTGATGCAAAGTCTGCTTTCTGCTGAGAAGATGGATTGTTCCACTGTCCAACTGAGAGGGACCTGCAATACGGAAGGTGGATGTTGTTGGCTCTTGCAGGAAATCCAATGCACCACCCAGTTGGTTGGTGAAGTTGTCCTACTCATCGTGGGCTCCCAACATGCGACAACATGCTGCTGAAAAAAACCGCACACCCAATGTCCACACCCCTGCGCCCACTGAGCTTCCCCACCAGCTTCAAAGCCATGTCAGGCTCGCCGGCACCGCCAACGAAGACGTTCACACCACGCGAATCAGGGTAGAAGATTTCCAGAAGCACGGACTGAGGCCAAGTGGGACGTCGAACGTGCGTGGGTGGAAGATGAAGCAAGTGGGACGGTGCAGCTACTTGCATCAGTGAACAAGGCCAGCCTCCGCTGGAGAGGTCAGTACGCTGATATAAGTATAGTTTTACACTTTGGCATTTCTATAGCTAGATGGCTGGTTTCCGTTCGGGCAAACCCCCAAAAGGCAGGTCCGCGGAACCCGTCTGAGACCGCGGAACCGCCAAGTTGGACCGCGCCACACCAACTGAGTGTGCCGGACTTCACCGGCTCGGGGGTTCCAATATCGAAGCCTCGGTGGTTTGGTCATGGAGGTCAGAGACCACCCGGTGGAAGGTGATGGAAAGTCTTGAAGATGCTTCGAGTGTTCACAGAAAACTCGAGAAGAAGAACATGGATCGATCCAAACTTACCTAGTTAAGACGCCATCAAGTACGTAGAAACAGCTAGTTATCTCCTGGGCTCGGCTGGATATCAAGAGCACAAGTGCGAATCAGTGCTCGTATGTGTTAAATCTGATAATCCATTTCATACAAGTTTTCGCACTTGCCTTGCAACAACTTTTAGTTGGTCTTCGCCCAACTGACAACCCTTCCTGATCCATTTCTGGATCACCAATTCATAGCCTGACTCCAGCTACCCTGGATTACCTGGCCTGAAATTCTCCGGCAAACTCATCACTTCAGCATAGTAGGTGGTGTCCTGGCTAACGGCTCTTGAGCAGGCCTGAAAAATGACCCTGTTTTTCCTTGGCTGCATGGAACCTGAAGCGATCTGAAGCCAACTCATGGCAGCTGTTCCATCATCCATCATCTGTTCCCTTTCTAAATCTTTCAGAGACTGATCCCTGAACGTGCCAATCCAATCTCGGCCACGTGCTTTCTTCTTCGGAACCGAAGAAAGGCCCCCAAAGGCGCCGGTAGGACCGGCTTGATGAGAATGTGGTAGAAGGAGAAGTCCCAACCTGCAGTTGGTGCGACCTTCTAGTTATCCAGTCCAACAAAGTGTTCATGCGGCCTGTTAATCGACAAAGAGGGTGGTCTCTCGAATGACAGGAGGCTTCACATGAACCCCCATCATTCAGAAACTTGGGCCCTTTCAACCAAACTTCCCAAGTTGCGGAAGTAAGTTACAAAAGAACATCAAACCCATGCCAAGAATGGCAGCAACTCTTTCAAACTGGTCCATCACTTGGTCGAACCACGGGTGGAAAAAGGCAAGGCAAGGCGTGTGTTTGGCTCTCTTCTTTCATCCAAACCGTTCTTGTTTCGCGTTCCGCACCACAAGGGCAGGAGGCGTAGAAGGGACCAACGCCTCGGCAGCTGAGGATGGACTGAAGCAGTTGGAGAAGAGGTGGAAGTGGTGCCCCACACGCCCACAAGGTAAGGAAAACACCGAGTGGGCATGGTTTCTTCTTGGTCCCCAGTGGGACACCTGATCTCTGTCTCCCTCAGTTTCAGCCGCACGCTGCACACTGCTAAAAAAAGGTGATGTGTTGCAGCTGAGACCACCGCTGCTGAGCACGCCTCCCTCAAAGCCATTTTCCTCGACCACATCAGGGGTCATGACCTGGCACAGTGCAAACGAGTCCAACACAACCGGGACTTGTTTGAGATATGAATTGCTCAAACGAGCGGGAACCCCCCAGCACCTCCCAGCCAGAACACTGGCACATCCAATTGAATGCTCTGCTTAAACCATTGAGGATCACTTCTTAGGACAGAACTTATTAAGAGCGTGAAGTAGAGGCGCTGGCAAAACCAAAAACATGCGTGTACAACATGTGCACAACATCTCTACAACCGAACAAGATAGTCAAAAGAGAACATGAACTTCCACTCGGAAGCCGCACCAAGGGCCCAAATTTGACGTCCTTGGCGCCACCTGGGGTTCTGCACAGTCCAAATAATCGATTGGTACCGCTTTTCGTTCGATTGGCTCATTGGCTCGCCTCTAAAACAATCGCAAGCTTGCTCTAAGCCTAGCACCAATGACTTCGTGGGCTGGGCTATGCTGGACTATGCTGGGATTCGGTACGATCCAAGTTCACCATTTCCAGAAGGTCGACAGAGGTGTTGGCGCACACCTGCGTGCTTCGGTGCGTGCAACACCTTCAGGACCATCTGGGTGTTTTGTGGTGCCCTTCTTCAACTGGAAGGCAACAAACATGTCAAGCTTCTTGGACGGTATGATTTGATCGACTTGCTACGTGGTTGGGTTCATGGTCAGCATTGAGCAAGCATGCTCCAAATGAAGGAAGGACACCGCTGCAATATGATGGTGCAGAATGACACCGCCTGTGCTCCCACGGCTACACCGTTCAGTTCAGTGTCACAGAAGGGTGCCCACCTTGGTATCAGAATGAAGGTCCAATTAAGGCGATCATGATCTAAAGCAGCCTATAATGTATCCAAAGAATCTTGATTACGGCAAGGGGTCTGTAATCAATGGATCTCTATGAATGTGCATAGCAGGAGAGAGCGGCTCACGCCAAAGCGTCCAGGCACCAGTGCTGAGTATAGAAGCCACGGGACTTTGGCGCCGCTGTCTCAATGAAAGTGCTTGGCGCTGTATCATTCGAAGGAACATAGAGTGGGTCTACAAGAGAAGCAAGGTTCCCCAAGAGATCTAACAAGGAAGCTTGAATTGGCATACCATGCATCTTTTTGATACGTCCAGTGGGCCATGCTTAAACCATGCAAACCTAAAGAATTATCTTGCAATTATCCAAGTGGCACAATGTCAGTTCTGGGTGTCAAAGGAAGAACTGTTGCCATGGGCGCTGCATCCAGGCCTGGCAGGTACCACTTTAATATCCACTAATCCAACAATCACCAAACGCGAAAAACATGGTCAGTTAAACATGATCAATCTTCAGGACTATGCAGTAGATTTTACACTTGATTCATCCATTGCTGTACCGTTACCCCAAAAAAAGACACGCTCCGCTTGCTGGCGCAGCAAGCAGGTAGGCAGGTCTCCACCTGTCCTCCCAAAAAAAGGAGGGAAACGTCGCTCCTGTCAACGTGCCATCCATGTCCTGCAAGATGAGTTGGTCCAAACCTCGGACGGTCCGAGGCCTTTTTTCGAAGAGAGAAACATCCTGGACATGGTCCTCCACATTATGAGCCGTGTTCTTGTTGGTGTCTGGTACCCACATCTCCGCAGCCATCACAAGAGTTCCCCCGAACATGTAGCGCGGTGTTCCAGGCAAAAACATGCAGCTCATAATATGGTCCTCCACATGGATGGGAACATGGAAGCTTCCACGGTGAAGACACAACTTTCTGGCGAAGTCAAAGCTGAAAGCTCCGTTCGTAGCGATGCCCTTGTTCCTAGTAGCTTCTTGTTACTAGTGTGGAAAACTGGAAGGTGCTAAGTGTTCCGCCCATGCATCCTCCACCACTGCTCTTGCAGGGGCTAGCTCGCGCAGCGTAGGACTGGGCGCATGTTGAGAGTCAGCTGCAACCGCAAAACTCTTGAACACTTGACTCTTGTCACCCCTCCTTTTATAATGTACTGTCTCAATTTCCTTGATCTTCACAGCCTAGTGAATAGTCACGGGTGGTACTACCACCTCAAGACCAGCACCTGTCACCTCTTCAATAATAATTGGACGCTGAAAGTGACTGAGCCTGAGTAAGTGAAAACTTCCTTTCCTCGGTCCTAGAATGCTCTGTAGTTAGAGTTATCATTAAGTTATATAATATAATTAAAACCATGTTAAAACATCTTCTCAAACTGCACTGGGCCCAAAAAACATGCCCTCATGTCATCATGTGGACTTCCCTTGTGGCAAGTCCAGAAAACAACACACACAGACAGAGTCCGACCGAGTCTGGCCAGGTCCGACCGGGTCCCGTCTCCCTGTCGGATCGGATGGATTTCTCGCTTGGCTTGGCTTTCCCACGTCGTCCAGTGCCTCCGTGCTCAGCTCAAATCGTGCATCCATATCAGACTGGCAAGGCAGGAGATGGGGCAGATAAGAAACTGCACGGGGCTCAAATTCAAAGGGACAATAGAATACAATAGCATGCAAATAGCATGCAAATAGCTGCATTATGCTGTATTTGTGGTCACCTTCCACCTGTTTATCCGAACCAACACTGCGTAGGACCTGTCCACATTGGGTTTACACCAGGCTGTTTTCGCACCACCCTTGGTCATCGCAGATTCACGTCTCGGAACAGAGTGAATCCTATCCGTCGTTCAAACACTGGACTGGTGTCACCTCTCGGCTCCTCCCGAAACGGCGTCACCTCATACCAGGTGGTCCTGGTGAAGCTGGCTGGGAAATTCACCTGCAGCTTGCCGCGGTTCGGTCGTGGGCGGCTTGCACGGTTCTGTCCAAGGCTTTCATGCAGGATACATACAAGTCGATGAAAACTTGCCAACCGCCAAAAAACCGTGGTTTCGCATCTTCTGGCTCTTGAGTCAGTGTGAATGTCTGGTTTTGCTCTCAAAAATACGAGGTAGTTCACACATGTTCACACACTTCCGGACAGAAAGCACAGCTCATCTGCACGCTAGACGATAGTTATATTAACTATGATTAGCTAATATTAACTATATGTATATATGACAAGTTTTGGGTTGATTGGTCGTGCCAAAGGGTATTAACATGCCCCATGTTCTGAAGCAAGCTAAGAATCCCATCAGAAGCAACGAAACGCTCGCACCTCTGCTCCCCACATGTTTGGCACAATGGCTCGATCCCTAGGCTCGAAGATGCTGGTGGAAGGGGATGTCTCATCGTTTTCCAGATTTTGGTATTCCATATGAAAAGCCTTTCCAAAAAGGTGTGCGAGGGGCTGTGTCATGCTGTGTCTCTAGTCGTCCTGAAGCCTAGTTGTCAAAGCCATCATGGCATATGTGCCAAGCTGGTCACAGCTAAGTTTCATTAAGTTTCTGCAAGAAATAAATCGCAAACATCTGCCTGATTCCGTGCAGAGCTCGAGATCCATTCGATCTAGATCCTTTTTGGGGTTCCAGACGTCATTCCGCAGTCGGAGCTCTCCCAGTAAGCGAAGGTGGTGTCTTCAAAGTATGTCCAGCCTCAAAATGGAAGAGTCCAAACGCTTACAGTATATAACTATAATCTTGTTTAATCGTGGTGCTCAAATGGTTTTTTTCGATGTATTTCAGGTGGGCCGGACGCGCGCCTGGCCATGTGGTTTCAACAACGAGAATGAAAGGATACTGTGCAGACAATGCTTCGCTCTGAGACTCTGGCCAAGACCTTTCTGCATGTGGATATCCTCAGGCCGAACATCTCCAGCTTCCCCCGCTCTGGTTCAAAACACCCTACCGATGAGACAAATCAACGAGCAGATGAGTTTCGGGGGATGTTGATCTATCCGGAATCCTTTTGACCAGCTTAGCTTTCACCAGCACGGGAATCGGTTGTTTGGAGTTGGGTCCACCCACAATGTACATGCTTTTTCTGGGATCCCGCTGCCTTCTCCCACGGCTGGTGGCAAGGATTGATCGTTGGCATCCTGGCCATCCAAGCCATCCAAAACACCATGAAGCCTCCATGAAAGCCTACCGTCATTTGATACCTTGCGTACCGTACGCCTCTCACAACCCATGAGGGTCGCCCCGCTCCAAGTGCCTTGGGGGGTCAAAGCATGTCAATTGGTGTGGGTTGACAGGGCATGGTCTAAACCATTGAATCCAACAATCAGATTAACCTGATAGAATCAGCATGTATCGGATGATGTAAAAAGAACAAAAGTATGGTCTCCAAAACGTGGAGGTCTCAACTGCACTTGCAATGACCGTCTACCAAATTCTACCAATCCTTCTTTAGATCACACCACTGAAAAGGGTGCAAAATGCCAACAAAGCCTTGCGACCTAACTAAACGCCAACAATCTCTGCTCTTCACGCACTCTCCTAGCTTGAAGAGTTGTTCTAATTTTTTCGAACCCTGGCACAATCGCCAGGTGGACGCTGGCGACATGAGCCGGCACTTGTATGCAGGCTGTGTAGTCCAGCAACTCCTGAAGCACCGACAGGCGGTCTCACAAGGCCAGCAGCCCTGCTGGCGAGTGAAGTCGATCAACGGGTTCCAGTGAAGCTGGTAGACCCGAAGAAACAAGTCAACACCATGGTTCAATAGACCAGCGTGAGTGTGGGAAGGGATGATTTGTTAAATGGCTTGAGAGAGTGATTCTCGGCCGTTGTATTCTTTTGATGTGTCAAAAATGGAAGCATGTGTTTCGCTTTCTTTCACTTCAAAGTCGACTTCAGCACCGAGCAAACGGACCCGCGGGTTGCGCGGGTGGCGCAACCTGTCGGCACCGAGCACATGAAGTCTCTTACTGAATCGAGTCTCGGGTGAACTCCATCCCGATCTCGGTGGCCGAACTGAATTGAACTTGAGCGGGGAAACACGAAAGGTAGAGACGGACCGGGTAGCTGTCGGAACCTTTTCTGGTGAGGGACTGTCTCCGGTGTTTCAGGAACGTGCCCCTTGGTCAATCATGGCTGAAACCAACAAAGCCAGAGAGCACAAGAAGGCTCAAGAGGAACACCGTTGCGGTCAGATTGCGCCACACGGCTCTGCAAAGAGGCTGCGTTGCGTCGACGCTCGTTTGTGTAAAGGTGTGTGAAACTTGAGAGGAGGGAGACCGAAAGGTAGGACAGCGGGAAGAGAAGAGAACGCGAGAGGCAGGAACAAAAATGCAATGTTCGACATGGTGATTTATCCCCTCGCAGGCGACCTGTCGTAAATATATGTTCATATGCACTCTAAATGTTCAAACATATGCTCTCGAAATGTTCAAAAAGATTCTGAGGAAAACAAACTTGCCCCATGGCTCAGATCATTGGTGAGCATTGAATCGGAGCATCATAGGATTTGAACTATCCTGAAACCATAAGAGGCTCACGAAGACGTTCCCCAAGAGAGAATTGACGTGCTTCACAAAACAAACTCCAGGCATGTATCCCCTCAGAAACACCTTTCGTGATTATGCACTCTTTCTGAATGTTCAAGAGGGTTTCAACTATCCTGAAATCATGAGAGGCTCACGAAAACGTTCTCCAGGAGAGAATTGAATTTAGAGGGGGGGGGTCTGCATTGAAAAATCAATTCCAAGGGGGGGGGGGGGGGGGGTTTAAATTGAATGATCAATTATTAGACCCGGACGTCCCAACACTTGCTTCGCAAGACAAACTCAAGGTATCCCCTAAAGGGCTACCTTTCGTGAACAGGCTAAAAGTCGCAATGCGTAAACGCTCGCACGTGCACCAGCTATGGTCCCACAGCTGCACGCACTGTGTCAGGATTACAGGCCTGCACGCGTTGCGTCGAAGCCGCAGTAACCAACCCCTTGTAAGGATAGTGCTGGAGGGGTGCGGCCGGTACTGCCAACGCTATGGTGGGTGTGCTCCACGATGCGGAAGGGTTTCGCCACGCTGGGGTATAAGGCTGAGTCGAATGGTGTTCCGCGACGCGAGGGGTTTCTCCACAGGGCTTTGCAGAGAGGCTGTGTTGCATCGATGCTCGTTGGTGTCGAGCAATATGGTCTGTGAACGCAGTACGGGCTGTGTCAGGCTGCCGGGTGCGCACGCGCGGCATCGAAGCCGCTTTGCGCGACCTCATTGCGCAGGGTTCGTGCTGTATTGCGCAACCTCATGGCCAGCGTCGTACTGCTGTGACTGCCTAAGCGCATGACTTCACCTAAGTGCTAGCTGCTAGTAGTGCTGGCGACGAGGGGAGGGGACGGGGAGGGGAGTGGAGGGGAGTGGGAGTGGAGGGGGGGGGGTCGAATCAATTGATTTATCAATGAATCATCACATGGGGGGGGGGGGGGGGGGGGGGTGGGGGTGTTAGACATTGATCTACCAATCTTTAGTCCCGAGCAAGCTCTCAAGCCAGTCCCTTTGCTTCGCAAAGCAAACTCAAGGTAGTCCTTACCAGGCTACCTTTCGTGATATGAAGAGACGTCTCTCTTTTTTTGGCGTTTTCCCACAGAAAAATTGCTCCAGGACCAATAGTCCAGCAACTTGCATATGATTAAATTCTGACATGTGGCATGCGACTGGTGAGGTTTTTGTCACCCTAAACCATCTCCTTCACCCACCTCAGATCGGGTCACACCGAGGTTGAAGGACCTTATAGGACCCTGGGGGACCCATAGGATAGCCTATAGGGTTCAACCACGGAGCCGGAGCCGCGCGCGGGTCGCGCGCGGGTCGCGGGTCTTTTTGTTCACCGTCTGGATCGGTGTCACGAACCTCGGTGTGCACCCCCGCAGTCGGACCGTCGCACATGCTCGGATTGGCCGGTGGACCCTACAGACATTCATCAGACTGGGAAACTGCCCGGAGTTTGCAATGTCGGGAGTGAAGGGGGGACGAGGGGGGGACGGTATACCATTAGATGATAAAAGGGCTGTTTCACAACACTTGATGGCGCAGTAGTCCAAGCGTGATGCAAATACGTAGCTATCGCAAAGTAGCTGAAGCACGGCAATCCGAAGACAGGCATTATATAACTATGCTTGGCCTTTGGCATGGGATTACATGTAAAGAGGGAGAAATCCCCAAACCCTGTACCCAAGTTCAGTTTGTCCCAGCTAGAACTGGCAGCTGGGCATCTCACCCAACACGTCGGAAGCCGGAGCCCACGTACATGGAACTGCACCCCTGACACCACAGCACGATGAAGGGTCCCGAGGCCAACAGCTCAAACGACCAGGACGACCAGGCAATGCCAGATCATCAACTTGCTGCACATGCCATGTCCCCTACCCCAAGTGTGCCATGCCCCTTCTGATCTGTCTAGTCTTCCCCCAATGGAGAATTGCAAGCCACAGCTCCAGCCGCCTCCATGTAGGGATCGGTCAGGGTCTGAGTACGGCAATGCAAGGATGACGAACCTTAGCGCGTGGAAGGCAGGCGTGTCGGCGCTGTTGAACCCTGGTACGTTGACCTCCCTAGTCTAGTAGTCTAGTCTGTTCGGTCAAGCAGGCCCGGGTGACGGGAACGGTGCGGAGCGGTGTTCCGCGTTCGTCTGCGTTCGCTGGAGCTCCCCACAGCTTGCTCCCGCAGGCGATGTTCCAATGAAGGTGGAATCGCGGATGTAGAGCCGCCTTCGTTTCTTCGGGAAGGCCAGCAGTCAAGACCCAGCGAAGATCTATTGCGAGAATGGGTAAAAGCCCAAGAGTCTGATCTAGTCCCAAGAGTCTGATCCCAAGAGGAGTCCCAAGAGTCTGATCTGAAGGATTTCTTCCAAAGAGGATCAAGAGGGACCTGACAGTTCTACATTGACATCCTCTCCAGGCTCATGCAGGCTCTGCCAGCTGTGGAATGCGGCATCTTGTGGCATCAGAAGCAACGCATTGAACAATTTGAAAAGAGACTGAACTCCCGTGGACTCCAACCTGAAGGCTGATCCAATGCTCATGTAAGGGATAATGCCTCAGATGTTCAGTTGCGACTTCTGCCAAATCCACATCGTCCAATCTGAGGCGTTTCAGAGATTGGAACCTTTGGATGGTCGGATGAAATTGTGAAGCCATGAATCAAGCAAGATCTCAACAGTCCATAAACCTGCGGGGGGGTCACCAGCACCTGCTCCGCCCCTACTCTACTTATGGATCTCCATTGGACCCCAAGTTCGGAAGGTCCAGGTGGATGCTTTCGGACGAGTCTTCGGGCTGCGTCTGCTTCTCTCGGATTCTCCCATGGATCTCTCGGAACGATCCACGTGGTTCTCCGGTGAAACCCGAGGCTTGCCTGGTCTCACACAGGTCATGAGTCATAAGAATGCACAGGTCAGAGGGTCACTTTGGAGTGAATTCATGCAATGCACTGGCCTCCAACCTAGTAGCGATGGCCTCCAACCCAATAGCGAAGAAAAAAAGAGCAGACCCTGAGCTCCAGAACCGATGTGAGAGTCGGCAATCACCTGCCACGAAGGGGCGAAAAGACGACTGCACAACTTCCAGTTTCTAGAGGGCAGGGGCATCATAAACGCTCACCATCACAAATGTCCAAAAGAACCTAAAAAGCACAAAAAAAGGAGAACTGAAATCATTGGATGTCCACGTCCCACCATCGAAACCTGTGAGCATCCTTCCCGGACTTGCCACCCTCAACAATGGTCGCTCCGTGCAACGCTGGGCCGGCGAGGCGATGTTGGACAAGAGGGTGCTGGGTGGTATCACGTCGGAGAGGTAGAGCGCCACATGCGCGGCTTTCCAGATCTCAGCCGACCGAGGGAGTGGGGACGACGCACAGCGGCGGGCGGGTCACAACCCAAAAGAATCCGCCGAAGAAGTGGTGGCACACCGGGCGATGCGATCAAAGCACGTGAAAAAGAAGCATCGATGCGGCGGGCCCGATGTTGTGGGTGCTTTTCGATGTTTTTGGCGTAGACTGGCAGGTGAAATTGAATGAAGGCTACGTTTAAAAGGAACACCCAAGAAAAACGGCACTTGGGGAGAGTCAAATATCCCGTGTTTTCCGCTTCAGTTTGATGCAACTGTCACCCGATATGACAGTTTCATAATACTATGTGATGGCTTCAAGGAGGAACCGAGGAACCAAAACCGCATTTGGTGCCAAAATCAAACAGATCTAATTAGATAGATTGATGATGATTAATGAGTGGTGGGGCCAAATACTGGGCCACATACAAAAAGAGACCAGGTCTAGAATCCATGAACTGCACTTCAGTTCCCCGCCGTGTAGAGGTTGACGGTCTGGCAGTTTCCACTCTTCTGTGTGAGGAGAAAGACCTAAGCCACAGACTTCAGGTCCAAGAAAGCCAGTTTCAGTTGGTCATGTTCAAGTCATGTCTGTGGTCAGTTTCTGCCATCAAGATGTTTGTTGGAGTCCAGTCCTCATTGAGCGAAATGTTTCCTTGCGGCCATCTATCTATGTATCTCTCTCTCTCTCTACCTCACTGCCTATGGACAAACACGGACTAACTAAGCTCATCACTCCAGTCACCACACCCACCGCCTCGTTGTTGAAGATTCCTCGAGGAGGACACTGTTCGGCCTCACGTAGCGACGTCGTGAGTGCGAGCCATGGATGGGAGGTCCAAAACAACGTCCGGGTGAAAGCTCCGAACGATTGAAGGATGTTGCAGAGTGGAGTCTCAGTTTCCAAAAAAGAATCTATGGAAACTAGATCATTTGTGCGAGCGCTTCATCAAGGAAGCGAGAGCTATCCTGCATCCTACCTAGAAGTTAACTTAAGTAGGAGCGGGCTAAAAGAAAAATCATCTGGCTGTTGAACAAAATTAGGCCACCGAGACGCCTTGATTTGGGTCCTACCATGGCTGCGGCTGCCGCTGTGGCTGTGTGGGTCCAGGTTTGTTCCTCGCACGACCATGGTCCCCCTGCCGGGTGCATATAGCCCATATCATCGGAACCCGCAACGAGGTTGCCGATCATGCGCACTGGCCTAGGCGAAGAAATCCGCTGGCGGAGGTTTGGAGGCAGTGTTGGAGGGAGCGTAGACTGGGGTAGACTTCTTGAAAGTCGGACAAATAGGGGACATGTCGCAGGGATGCTGAGCTTTCCAAGCATTCTGTCGGTGTGTTCAAAAAAAAAAAACAAGCATGTGCAAAGAACGCAAGATCGGTAAGCGCGGGGCAATGTATCTGCACGGATGCCTGCATACTGCATGACCTCAAATGAAATCGTCAACGAGTGATCAACGCAAAGAACCCGCACGCGAAACCTCATTATTTGCATCTGGCGTGGTGCAAGTGATACACACCACACACCTGCAAAGGTACCAAAGGTTCCGCTTAGGACGACATCGAAGATCGAATCATTTCTGCATCAGAAACCACCACCAAGACCTACAGACTGGAGGTCTGGCAGTACATGGGCTAATTGGTATGCCAAAGGACCCCTCGACTTGAACAGAAGTTCATGCATGGTCTTCATCCGAACAAGGGAGGATTCATGTGCACCATGCTCCTGTTTCAAAAAACAAGAAGCACCCCTCAAGAAAACCAGCCCAAATCCAGCCATGCTCCTTCTTCTCCCCCGTCATCCCCCTTCTTCTCCCCGTGTTCACGATCCGTTCGTTGGCCCCTTCCGTGGCCCAAGCAATCACTTGAGAATCGTCCTCCGCGATCGCTCGTGGCGCCGTGTCCGCGAGCTTCACACCTGCGGACGGACCGGCACGCAGGTGTAGCGGACCAGGGAAGAATCGCTCGGGTTCGAATTGGTACTAGCTGTATCTAGCAGTATCTAGCTGTGGATGGGGTGGCCCCTTCGGCGACCGGTCGTTTCATAGGATTACCCCTCGGGCGACCCGAGCCCGAGCCGCTCCCCCGCTGAGCGATTTCGCTAGTTTACCTATTGGTTGTACACTTGGAGGTGTGCCCTCTATCCATCAACCAACCACTGGTAAAAGGCCATCTATGCTCTGGATGAGTGGATCCATTGATGACGGGTCAGGCAATGAAGTTTGCCCACTGCAAACGGCCAGAAGTCACTGGCCGAGCTAAGAACGCTAAAAGGCCAAGCAACCCAATGCTCTTGAGTAGCTGGCAGCCCATCAACCCTCCCCTCAGCTTCTTCCAGCTCCATGCTGGCCCTGAGACTTCATGAGAGTGAAACTGCAAAGAAAGCTAGGTGCGGGCACCAATGCCGATGCTGCGGGGAGAAGAAACTGCCAAAAACTGGCTACTCCGGAATCAAAATAACCATCTGAGTGTCATGTCCCTACTTGAGTGCTCGCGCGCTGCTCCCTTATAATCCCTTATGTGATCACCAATTGGCGATTTGCAACTACTATTATACTGAATTAATGAATCTGAATTACCACCTTGGACAAGATGTTGCAGAAGACCATCACAAGAGTTGCACCAAAAAAACCTTCGATCCGTAGGCGGCAGAATACGAAACTTGGGCCAGCCTAAGATCGCATTGTCCTTGATGTGCACGGCTGATCCCTGACCATGCTGTCCATCGTCCATCAACAGAGTAATGTAGACTGTTGCTTCATAAACCCACCCCAGATTGAATTGAAAAACCCTCTTCAAGAGTCTACATGATCACCAAACAGCCAAGACCTTGAACAGCCAAGAGCCTGCAAGGACACCCCTTCTTTGCGCGGAAAAGGCTTAGCCGCACTGCAATTCTGCGCACCGCGGTTCTTGGCACCTCTTGCAGGAAAATGCCGCCGTTCAAGGAATGCACCATGACCTCGTTGTGAGCAGGAAAAAGCGGCAATAAAGTCAGGGAACAGAGAACATGGCCCTGGCCACAGGATGAGTTGAACACTGCCAATCACCTTGCTTCTAAATGTCAATATGAGCTCCTGCGATGTGTTCCTTGTCAGGATTAGTTTGTCAAAAATCAGCCAAAAACAGCATTTCTTACCGTTTTGCTCTTGAATTGAAGAACGAACTGCACTATGTCACTATGCAGCAAAAAGAACCTGTTCTTTCTCGGTGGCCTAAAAAAGACAAAAACACCCAGTTCTCGGCATCGGTGCTTGAGATCTTCCGGCATCGGGGCGTGAGATCACCAGGGTCCGCGCATTGTTGGTGATGAGAGTTGGTACATTGGAGGATTCCAAATGCAAGGCATATTCCTGGCGAAGAAGTGGAATCTGTTCATATGCATATATATATATATATATACGTATATATTAGGTGGCTTGTAGGTGGCTTGATTTCCATCAAGTAGAATTGCTGTGAGTCTGGTTGCAATCTACAGCTAAGGTGTTGAACACTCCGTCAGCTCAGCGATCGACTCTTCGGTCGCTGCGTGTCCAGGCGGTCACGAGCCGCCGAACGGTGCTCGGGCAGTCCGCGACCGCGCCGGGGGGGCGGTCCGGATGGGTTCCACTCGCAGCGAACGGTGTGGATTGAGAGGACCAATGGCACAGACCCCAATGTCGGTGGTTTATGTGGGCCCCCAACGTCATGTAGGACATGTAGGGGTGCCAGTGCCATCGAACCTCTGAAACCACTGTTAAACGTTAAACGTGCTGAAAATCAAGACTGAATGCGCGGTGTGTTCCGTGTCACCACACAAAAACTCGCTGGTGAGTACCACTGATTGGGTCCAAGAACATCCATGGAACGTCAGCACCGGAGGTGGTTCCTGAGCCAATGTCAGCCGTGCCATGTCGATTTCCGGAAGGTCGAAACTGCATTGAATTGGCTCACTCCGAAACAATCTGATGCTCCAGCCAGACATCTGTTGCACTTGTGTGTTTTAAACGCTAGGGACCAAGCTTCAAAGTGTTCATCTTCCGATGGAACAAATGGATACAAACTGGATCAAAGATGATCAAAGGCAAGCAAGCCCTACTTCCTCAAGGTAAGTTGACATACCCAGTGGTCCGTTTGCTTCATGTCCAGTATGTTCAGTGCCTGTGGGTCCAAACCCACACCCCAAATCCAATTCCATCGCTGGGGCCATAGCGAAGTTGGAGCTATATGTCACCTTCACAGCCTAGGCTTTTCAATCTGTTTGCACACGTGAGAACAGGATCCTCTTCTCCAAGAACTCCATGCAGGTGTGGCCCAACCATACGAGGTTCATGATGTTTCAAGACATAAAGACAGTGTCATGTTCTTATCCATGGGACATCACGGACCCCTCTTTTCTCATGGAAAAAAACACTTCCTGCCATCGATCAAAGTACTGAGTCACCTTCCTCTACGCCTGAGAGGCCGCACCGCTGAAAGCGCACCCTTTCCGAGTCGGTGGAAGTTGGTGTACCTCAAACCAAGTAGCGAAGAAAGCGCACAGAAAACAACACCGAAGTCGGTGGAAGACGATGCGATGAACTGGAAGGTACCCGAACCCCAAAAACGTGCCTATCTCACAAACGCGCCGAACCCCACCTGTGCCGCTTCTTTCCACAACACTTAGGCCTGTTGATCTCGGGTCGAAATCGGGTCGAACTCATTGATCTCTGCGACCGACATGGGCCCAACGAGTCACACGAACGAGTCGTGGCCACTCGACGGCACAATCTCGCCCAAACGGGCACTTCATGTCCACAGTGCCAACCCACTTCGTGGAGTGGAGGTCGTCCAAAGTCCTGATACGATCCGAAACGCGGTGAAACTGATACGAAGTGACCTTATACAAATTAAACATGTCATCTTCACATAGTCCAGCGCAGAACAAAGGCTTGTCATATTGCCAGCGATGTCATATACTTGATGCATCTTGATGGTGATCTATTTTGGCTGCTTCTTTTGTTACCACACCTAAAAAACACCAAGAAGATGCTTGGCTGGCTTGGCCAAACATTCGACTCTCAGTGGATCTGGGATCCCTGACAGGTCGAAAATCTCGATATGACCTCCATATGCACTGCCGCCCGTGGTATCGATGGACTGCGAGGTGAAGATCACCTGTTCGAATTCCAAGATCCATCGATCTGCGCGGAGCGCATGTTGGGGACTTTAGTAACTTTGGTCTTTGGATGTCTTTGAGACCTCTTTGTCAGATTACCATATACTGGCTAGATAGTTAGGGCTGTGGACGAGTGAAGGAAAAAATTGCAAAAATCAGATCGTGCGTGATCGCATCATGGCGTTTGCCTTCAAAGAAGACGTCCAATGTACCAAGAAAAATACCTGGTAACCACGACGCTTAAGGCATCCTCCACATGGGCCTGGCTATGTACTGAGGTGTACGGTACGGTGTACGGTACGGTGTACGGTACGGTGTACGGTGTTCATCTTCATCTATCTCAGGTTCCGTCGTTCCGTCGAACTGCTTTTGACCCATTCACTGTTGTCAAGTGACCGATCGATCCACCCGTGCGACCACTGCTCGCAAGGAGACCTCAGCAAAAACAGGAGAAAAACTTCAGCGCACACACTGTTTGTCACTGACAAGAAGGTTTAGATTTATTGGTTTAATGTGTGTATACATATGTATACATGCAATATGTCATTATTTGGCATGAGGTTAATGATCACGATGGTGGTGCAAACATGCGCAGGCATGCTCCAGAAGAAGTCCTGGCTTGTTTGACACGTCCACCAACGGTAAGCTGTTGCTTCCTGAAAATGACAGTCATCAAAGAGTCGCTGCAATCAGCAAGAAACAGCTGGAAACAGCCGGAAGAAGTTGAAAAATGATTGGATCCTAACGTTTCAGCAAGGTGGATGTGCGAAGATTTGGCCTTCGAAGTACCAGAGGGTTGCTTGATGATCTGGAAAGAAGATCAACGGAGGCCAGTATGTTTCCACTGTCTTCCCAAAAAGAGGGTCGTCTAGAGTCTACTTGTTTTCACCAGCGCTCCCAGCGTGGCGATGCTCTCCTGGATGATCTGGATGCTCTTTTGGAGTCCACCAGAATCCACTCTGGGCCCTGGAACGCTGTTGCCATTGCCCGTTGGCACGTCGCCAGCATAACGCAGGTCAACCAAATTGCCTGACCATTGAAGCCTGGAGCCGCAGCCAGGAGGGCAGAGGTGCAAAAATCCTGGAGCGGTGGGGACCGCTCAGGTGGTGCCCGGCGAAAAGCCAGGTGCATAAGCTACCTGTGCACATCCCTCACTATCCAGCTTGTTTAGAAACTTCATGAGTGTTTGGGCAGTGTCAAAAGAAGGCCCAAGCATACACTTGAGAGAGGAGGGGGTGAACGAAAGGTAGCAAATACATTTTCTGTTAAGGCAAGGAGAACTCAGGTAGCTGAAGCTACCTTGCGTGACCTGACTTGGAGAGAATCAAGAATCGGCAGCTAGTTGGGAAGGGGTGTGGTCTTCAATTACACAATGCAAGTCTGACATCCATCTTGAAGATGTAGAAATCCCAACCTATGTGTATCCCGCTGTTGACCAAAGACTTTTTCCAAACCTACAGGACCTTCAGGCAACATAATGTTCTGTCTGCTGTCTGCTTGGGGTGGTACGTCCAGCAACCACCCGCAGCATCGTACACCTTAGAGCAGTCAAATCCCTCAAAAAGCATCCTCTATGCCTCAACTATTCAAAGCTGCGGTCATATCAGCACGCATTGAAGAATCTATGCTTCACCCATAGCGACTATAGCACCTCCTGAGCACAAGACGCATGCGTCAAACAAAAGCGGCTGCAGGATCCCCACGACCAGGAACCACCAGGTACCCGCAACCAACGCGCCCCCCGATGGCTTTTCCACCCAAGGCAAAGGCAACTTCCGTCAGTACTGGGGAAGCTAAGATGTCGGCGGCATCTTCCGTCAGCACTTTCGTCATGGTACGGCCGTATGGACTGTCGAACCTGACAGAGACGGAGAGATTCCAAACGACAGACGGATCGGGTGTGAATATATTTCAAGCAAACAAGGAAAACGGCCACTTCCTGGGGTTGAGATACGTTACTCTATCCACCAGCAGGGTGCTCTGGCAGCTTTTCTCATTTTTGTTAGGGTTCTCAATGATTGTGAGAAATCGAAATGACTAGCTGATTCATGGTTTAGGAAGGAGTGACCAAAAGGTCACTCTGGCCTCACCGCCTGAGGTCAAAACCCTTACTCACTACAGGTTTCTTGCATGCTACAGTGCTACAGTCATTCAAAGACCAACTCTCGCATAAAGGATGCGTCGAAAATCGTCGAAATTCGTTTCAAGAGAACCCACAGAGATTTCGGGCTGCCCAAATGGAGTCCACCGTCCCATCCAACGGGCGCTCAGTCACATGGCCAAGCAGCTCAGTCACTGAGAAAGCCACTTCCGCCCCAGCCGTCCAATTGAGCTGCCTGCGGGTTACCCGGCCCGACCAGTGGGAGAAACCCTGTGATGCCTCCCGAGTCCTTTTGAGTTTAAGCGCGGGGGGAGCCACGGGCAGGCCGCCCTCTGGAGGCTGTGGTCGTTCCAAAGACAATTGAAAGTCAGGGCCTTCTGGCAACCTGGCCTTAGGGGGAGGAAGAAGGAGAGAAGTTAGGCATGTTCGGCTCAGTCTCCCGGCTGGCTGCTGCTTAGCACGCAGGCAGTCTCTGCAGTGGCAGCAATGCTGCTGGAGAGTCTCAACCTGGACATCAACGGTGATGGATTACATGCACGTTACAAGTCCACTCGTCTGTTGCGGTGGACCTGCAGAATCAGCTGCCTAGATGACCCACATGTCTGTTTTAGATGCATCGTTTTTGGTTGATGCGTGATATATGTGTGTGTGATACATGTATATATATATATATGTGTGTGTGTGTGTGCGTCCATCCACCGAGGTCTCCACCATGTGTCCATCACGGGTGCTCCGTAGGTGTTGACCTCAATGCAGCGGACGGGATGATTGGGGCCGGATGGGCGGATGGCCAAAAGTTTGTGTTTTGGGCTGTGAGACGGGAGGAATGGACGGAGTTTAGGGATGGTTCTGGTGAGCGACCACCAGACCCTTGGTCGGCTGGAGGAGTTTGAAGAACCATGAAGAACCCAAGGGATGTGAAGATTGGAGGTGTTGACCATCCCTCAAATGCCCTGCTCTTCTTTTTTGTTGCTGAAGCCACAAAGTCTGCTGCGATCCGAAGTAAGAGACGCTAATCAGGTCCAGTGTATCCGAGTGCATAGCTACTGACCGTACTGACACTCACCGAACATACCGCCCACCAAATGTCCTGCATCCTTTCAGGAACAGCTACTTTCGACCCTCCCGCACATCATCTTGAGAGGCTGCAGCCCAGGTCGTAGGTCTTTCCACCATGCCGGCGGATCTTTAAATCTAGCCATTTCACGTCACAACTCACAATACAGTAGCGGTTCTGTCCAGGCAAAGGAATCACCCTTAACAACCCAACACAGCTTTCTCAGCCCTCCCACCTGGCCAATCACCGACACAACCTGCAGTCGCAAACAAGTCTGCCGACCCATTCTTGAATCTACTACTACACACTTGAGAGCGAAATCTGTTCACTGACGATGCCTTGAACAGCTCAACTGCAGTCTGTGGGACTCTCGAGCAAACTTGCCTTCCCCCACAAGGATTGCTCCTGGATGTACACATAGTCCTGCAGAAATGGATCTTCTTTCAAATGTAAAGGACATTCCTTGCACTTGGATGCCAGGTCAGTCCCCTAACTGGCAATGCGTTGCAGAGGCCTTCTGTGATAACCCAGCAATCTTGAGGTTGTGAAATTTGTGAAGCGGTCTCTCTCACACATGGCCAATATTACCTTGAAGCAGCACCTGCAGCATATGAACTGATCTCTGCAACAGCTGCTTGCTAAAGTTTTGTTGGGAATCTAAGTCTACTGGCCTGTCCTGAGATACCCTGCAAAGGGGTTCACCTTTGGTGGCTTAGTAGGAAAACCGCTGCAAACCAAAGGGCTATATAGTCTAAGAGAACCGACTGTAAAGTTTGGAACATGCCAAACCTGTCAAAAGATTAGTAATCCAGGACAAGACAAGATTCAGCTGTATCAAAAGTCATTTTGACAATCATGACAGATTTTGGAAGGACAGGTAGCTTGGGGCGGCCTCCTGTTTGCAAGAACAAGCACCGGATGCCCATTGGCAAAAGTAAAAAGAAAGAAACTTCCCAAAGCTCTGAAGCTTTCCAGGCAGGGTCCTGTGTATCCAAGACATTTCCCGTGAGCTCAACTCGAGCCGTTGTTCCAGTCGTTGCACCAAATGGGCTTGCTTGAGTGCCTGAAAGTACACGTAAGAAAATTGTAAATCCCTTCGGGCTCAAATCAGGAAAGTTTCTCTGTTCATCTCTAGTTGTTTCTCTGGTTTGTTCTCAAGTGTGGCAAACAAAAAAACTTCAGCCCTGCTCTGCAAAAAAATAGTCTTGGGAGACTCAAGTGACTCAAAAAGACAAAAGAAAAAATAGAAAAGGAAAAGAACCTAAGGTTCTTCAGGCTCGAACCGATCTCCAAGACGCCCCAAACAAGGATATTGCCTGGCGGGATCGGGTGTTTCACCCACCAGATCGACAGCTTTTCTACCTCCGAGCTGTCTTTCGAAAGACAAATCCCTCCAATTTGGCTTCGACATGTGCACAGTCACACTGAAGCTTGACAATCAGTTGAGGAAAAAAGATACGCATCAACTCTACTTAGTAGCACACCAAAACATCCGGCAAAACCAGCTCGATTTGAATTTCTGCATCTCTAGAGGTGCATACTGAAGTACAATGTACATTGACATGTTCTTGTAAGCCTACCTGCATAAACCCTCAAACGGGGCCTCAAACGGGTTTGGGTCTTTCATCTCCGCAAAACCCGCGGCAGTTCCGCCTGTGCGCAGGATTCGGTCTGCACCTGACGAGCGGACAGGGGGTGAAGTCCGTGTTCCGTTGCTGCGGACGTCGTATTCCGTTGCTGCGGACATGGTTGAGTCACATCAGAGGTGGGATGACATGGATTTTAAAATGAGATCAGGGACTATAGAGTCCGAAAAGGGGCTCCCAATGGCTCCCAGGTTTTTGAGACTTGCTTGTATCGGGCGTCCTCCAGGATGCAGCGTGAACTTTGTGCCCCAGGTCCCACCAGGTCCTATGGTTATCCACATCCAAAACCACTTCTGGGTGTCCAGGCTGGACGAAGATGGGCAAAACAAAGAGGGAAACAAAGGGAAACCAAAAATTTGTCCAAATCTCAATGTCTCACCATGTTAGCACGTTGTTTCCCCCTCCCTGAGCCACAAGCTGTCGTCAAAAGACAACTTCCCCTTGATGGTGAGGTTCTTCAAGACGACCAAGTCCTGATCCAAGGGAGACTCTACCAATATTGGTCACTGGAAGACCGTCAACGTTCGTTTGGAGTGTGGAGAACCTAGTGACAAAATCCTGCACCATAAAACATATAGGATTACACAATACCCGCAAGACAGCTGTTAAGTCTGAGGTCGCCAAAATTCCTGGAAATGGCAACCTTACACTGCGTCATCCAACAGTTTTAAAGTCACGAAAATCAATACCCTGCACCTTCAGGCGGAAACCTTCGCTCAAAGACTCACATCTTACCCGGTCTTACTCTCTATCACCCTCCCATCTTTGCGTCCCCATCGGTCCATATCGAACATGATCCAATCGGGCGATTCAATCTCCACCGCTTGTCCAGTGACATCGCCTCAGAGACGCCGAGTCGCTAAGGGTCTGTTGCTGCCTACGGGGTGGGTCGCATCAGCTGAAAAAAAAACGTTCTTCATCTGAACAGATACGGATTGGGTGTGGGACAGCGGCACCTCTTGGCGTTTGATGGGGGCCGATTTTAGTATGTCTGGGCCACGGGCTCCATATCCTTTCCTCTTTAACTATAGTGGTCTTTAGAATTCTTGTTGCTAGTAGCGTGGCACTTGTTCCTAGTAGCTTCTTGTTACTACTAGTAAGGCACCTGTTACTACTAGCGTGGCACTTGTTCCTAGGTGCCCTTTTTTGTTTGTTCAAGACCGCCCCATGGGCCCGTCTCCGTCGCTTCTTCTCTTTGGAGACCGGGCCGAACTTCTCGCTCCACCTGGAGACGTCCGGAGCCGGGAAATGGAAATGACCGTGACACCGACAAAGCTCTGCAAATCCAAAAGGGAAGAGAAAGAACTTGAGGTTAAGGGGGGGGGGCGAAAGCTAGCGCTCCAGAATGGGAAAGTGGAGGGCAGCGAGGTAGGAAAAAACACGGCGCTCTTTTTGGAGGCAGTCGCACGGAGTAGCAGAAGGCAGGACGCCTTGCACAAGTTGGGCGGGGCAAACGATTCCAGGTGAAGAGTCCTTTATATGTGGCTCTTTGCCCGGATCCTCCTGCGAGAGAAGAGAGAGAAGAGAGACGGAAAGACGAGAGACAGAGAGGAGAGAGAGAGAGAGAGGAGAGAGAGAGAGAGATGAGAGAGAGATGAGAAAGAGATGAGGGAGAGATGAGAGAGATGAGAGAGAGATGAGAGAGATGAGAGAGAGAGAGAGGGACAGTGAGAGTGAGAGTGAGAGTGAGAGTGAGAGTGAGAGTGAGAGTGAGAGTGAGACTGAGACTGAGACTGAGACTGAGAGTGAGAGTGAGAGTGAGGGTGAGCGAGTGCGGCCGCAAGATACGCAACGCTAACCGCATGCCAAAGAGCGACGACAGGACGGAGTCGAACTTGCGAAGAGGGAGGAGGGAGGGAAGGTGGGAGGAAGACAGTTTCAGCCACCTCGTGTGCACCTCAACCCGGACCAACGGTCGTCTTAGGTGCGATCTGCTGTCCGTCGTCTTCCACTTCAAGGATCTCAAGTTGGAGGTGATGCGGCTCCGACCGACCAATGGAGCTACACTCCCAGGTGAAGAGTCCTTTATATGTGGCTCTTTGCCCGGATCCTCCTGCGAGAGAAGAGAGAGAAGAGAGACGGAAAGACGAGAAACAGAGAGGAGAGAGAGACAGAGAGAGAGAGAGAGAGCGAAAAGAGAGATGAGAGAGAGATGAGAGAGAGATGAGAGAGAGAGAGAGAGAGACAGTGAGAGTGTGAGAGTGAGAGTGAGGGGAGTGAGGGGGGGGGCTTCGACCTGAAAAATCAGGGGTTAGGATTTGCACCCGATCGAAAGAAACCTTGCTATCGCAAGAGTAACTCCAGCTAGCTTCGCTAGCTTTCGTGATTAACATGAATGAACTACTGATATGTCCACCTACTGGTCACGCCTGTTTCGTTGGGTCTTCACTCTTTGGACTCTGTCGTCGGTCGTCTTCTTTCTCATGTTTGCCGGGTTGGACCGGATTTGGGCCCGCAAATCTGGAAACCAAGCACCTCTCGCTGAAAAAAGCGGCATCTTGCAAGGTTTTGCAGAGAAACAGCCAGAAATGAGAACAAATGAAAAAATGAAAAAAAAAACAACTTCAGAGCTCACGCATCTGAATGCAAACAAAAACATACATTCAGAATCGACATGAGCTGCTGAAGCTGCTAGGGCCCAAGCAGAATGTAGGTGCTCCAATTTTGATTGCGGTCCGGCAAATCTCAGCGAGCCAAGCAAGAGAAGACTTTCACGTTATACCATGGGACCAGCTGCGAACGTCCAGTCTACATTGGCACCTTTTAAGCCGTCACGCTCATCTGGGCACGCGGGCCAAGGATACAACCCTCGTCTGGGCACTTTCGAGCCTGGCATTGTAGGTCGAGATGGTGCTAAAGGCCGGGTCAGGAGTCAGGAGATTCTGGCAAAATGAAAACGACAGTTCCCCGGTCCCCCAGCATCCACCCTAGAAGCTTCTTGTTCCTAGTAGTACGGCCAGGAGCCCCTAGTAGCGTCCTTGCTCCTAGTAGCGATGCCAGGAGCCCCTAGTAGCTTCTTGTTCCATAATAATGGTGCCTTGGAAAAATCCAATCAGGACAGTCTACCAGCAACTGGCTCACAATTTTCCACAACGAGTGACACATCAATTCAAGCCACGCCTCAAAGTATGCTCCATATGGGACACTTTCCCACGCAGGTGCATCAGCCTGAGAAACATCAAGGAGGAGGGCTGGCAATCGATTGGCACTTGAGGGCCATCGCCGGTTTATCACCTCGCTCGTTCCCCCGTTCCTCTCCAGAAACGTCCACGTCCTCGCTCGTTCCCCGGGCTCCCAGGCTGGTTTGGGGTAGCGGAAGTTCATCGCCCAGGTCTTGGCGTCCTCCGCGGAGCGGTCAGAGAGGTCAGAGAGCAGACATGAGCAGACTCTCCCGGAAAGGGGAAGGAGACTTCAGGTTTGAAAGATGTCTTGAACCCGTTTAACGTTTTTTTTTGTGTGTGTGTGTGTGTGACAATGGGTCGTGCATTCTTGCATCCACCATTAAAAAATGCTTCATCTGTCAGACCACCTTGAAGATTCGACGCGAGTTCCTTTCTTCGACAGGCAAATACTCTACCTCACAATCTCACACTGGTTGGATGGTGGCAGACATGGCCTGTCCTTCATTCCATGCGTCATAGATGGCAAGCTGTCTGGCGTGTCCAAAGGTGTTGGGTCAATCAAGTATGGCCTGGCAGCAAGCAAAGCAGGCCACACAAGTAAAGAGACCAGGAAGGCTCGTGGAAGGCGATGTTCTTGGGGTAGTACTGAGCATTGAACGAAAACCAGTTTCACAGCTCACAGGCGTTTATTTTGTCAAATAAGGAAAGCTGCTGGCTTCATTCCGTTCCATTCATACTTCTTTTTCCACCTCTTTTCAGCCAATCAAGTCGGCCAGGTTGGCATCTTCTCTTCCAGTCTGACTGATTGCAGCTCTGCTGCCTGGTCCGTTGAAGACCGCGCATGAGTCCCAGAAACTCTGTCTGTCAAGGAGGTCGGCCTGTTTCTTCCCACCACATCATGCTCCTTTTCACTAATGTATATAAAACCTCTATACTATACGTATGGGGGGGTGATTCGGTGATCCTCCATGTCGGGGGCTTGATTAATCATGATTCATCAACAGGTCTACATTACATTATATAAACTGTAGGATTCGGAGACGCTGGACGAGAAAGAAGTTGCTGCACGTCAATTGTGTAAAAAAAGTGGCTTATCATCAACAGCAGTCAGCAATGATGCCTAACCCTAGGATTCGATTCGCACCATTGATTGAATGGCCTTGACTGAAGAAACTTTGTTTTACTACATGGGGATTTTAAAGAAGCAAAACCAGGCTGTACATTACCTGGTCCATACCTGCCTTGTGGACAGTGACCGGCCTTGGGGATTTGACATTGGTCTAGGATAAGGATCCGACAAGGGCCGGTCACTGTCCACTCATCAACGAACCCGGTCACGGGTGATGTCGGATGCACGGATCAATACGCACAGCGAGTACGGCAGAAGCGCCTCGCCATAGCGAGTACCAACCCACCAGCTGTAAGGATTGGTCAGCTTCACGTGGTTGTAATCCTCATAGCAAGTTGTCAGCCGCACACTTGATCTTGCATGACGGTTCTGTTGCGTACTACATGGAGGACTGCCTCAAAGGGAAAATCCTATTTCCAGGGAGGACTACTTTCCCAATGTGGCCCATTTGGGGTTTTAGGATGCAACATACGAAAAACGTTGATCACGGACTCATCCTCAAAAGCCATCGTGCTCCAAAAGATCTTCACAGTCCAGAATCAAGACACATTTCTGGGTGGTGCCATGCAATGTTAAAGTGTTGTTCGTACCAAAAGAATGCGTTTTGCTTATGGGAAACCGAAGCTAGGTGGAGGCCATCGCTATCAGGTTGGAGGTCATTACTAGTAACAAGAAGCATACTAGTAGAACGAACCCGGCGCAGCTCTCTGACCGAGCTCTCGCGCCATCCAGAAAGCCACCTGCAACTGCAGCCTGAGCAGCGCTGGAAAGGCAGTTTCAAGCTTTCACACCATACCTTGATTGAGATCAAGCCCACTTAGTCCAGAACCAGAAGAGGAAGGAAACTGATGTAAAAAACATCTGCCTTCTGTGCTTTAGTTCATTCTCCAAATTTGCTTGCTCCAAACTCGACAGGTCCATAGCCATGTTGGCTGCGTCTCAAAGTGAGACTCCCACATACAATGAGTGCTCATCTCTTTACCTTGCTGCAAGGAGGTGGGGTTCTTCCAAGTATTTGAGACACATACTAAACAGGACATTCCTGTTTTCCCACCAAGTGGCCATTCAGGATCCGCTGTCTTCTTGGCCTTCAATGCATCGCTCTCTTTCGAGGCCAGCAAGTCGTCTGGGAGCAGCGGCGTGGTCGAAAAAAGGTGCTCCGTGGACCAAAGGATCTGGATGCTCTGGGCGCGAGAGGTGGAGAGAACCCTTGTCAGTGGTCCATCAGACAAGTTGCCATGAATGGACAGGTCATGAAAAGTCACGAGAAGCCAACAAACAGGTTACCATCCATATCCATCCATGATACATTCTTTCAAGACCCACGTTCTATTCTCGGAATTGATGCTGGCCGGTCAGTCCAATACTCAATACTTGAAGCCGCGAAGCAGGACCGGTCAGCCCCAAGATGTCTAACCGTTCCTCACGGTCGTTCCTCACGGTGGGGAATATCTTACCACAGCATCTGAAAACCCAGCTTCACCTCTCGGATGGGTCTCTCCCTCTCGAATGAATTTCAACAAAACAACGCAGAGGATGGGTCATGCGATTCATGGCCTGTTTCCCCCAAAAGAGAATAGACACGAGAGGATTGAATTCTTCGATTCAGGGGTGGATGATCTACATGTTGCATTGCTACACAATTTCAAGCGGGTTCAAAGGGCCCAAATGCCCCTGCTCCACACATACTCAGCAACATCTGGAAAAGGTGGGATTTCCATCTGAGTGCCCAACTGAAGCCATACTGAATTCCAGCTTCCGTCAAATCCATGCCTGGAGTGAAGCACCAGAAGCGGCAGCTTCCCGAATCCTTTCAATTCAAGGTCGGCTGATAGGCTCCCGCGGACTCCAGCGGTTCCAGTGTCCATTCCCTTTATGTTGACACCTCCCTCGTCTTGGGATGTCAAGGATGGCGGGGCCTACCTGTGCGAAGCTATGGTGAGTCAAAAATCCGAAGAGCTTCTCTGCAAGCAACTCCTGAACATGTTCCTTTCAGCTAGACCCGCTGTCATTTCATCACAAAATCAACCAAGCACCCTGATAGGAAGAAGCATCAACCAAAAAAATCCACCAGTTGGGATTCCCTCACCCCGTGCTGGCCCTGCTGCTGGCTCCAAAAGTGCTGGCCCTGCTCTCAGGCTCAAGCCCAAGAAGTTGGGGCGGACCTCCAACCTCTGGTTGGCGACCACCTTGTTCCGCGGGCGGAGTTGGCAGGGGCACCCCGCGAATCTGCAGCATATATCTTGGTGTGGAACATGGAAGAACCAAGGCCCAACAAACACGGTCTCGTCGCATAGAATAAAGTGAATAAAGCAGACTGCAGACTTTGAGGATTTGAGCTTGTTTGAGGTGGCAAAGGTGAGAGAAAAAGAGCCAAATCCTTCGAGTGCTTCGGGCAGAAGACTACAACGAAGGAAGCCTTTTGGCCACAGGGAGTCTGCCTCCAACACGGATCCTTCCCGAAAGGCTTCAAGACAGCGGGGCGTGTGAGACCCAGAGATCCCCAGCTTGGTGGCCAGGCACCATCAAACTGTCTTTAAACATCCATGACGGTCTTTTTTCCCGAGCGAAACATCCATCGATGACGGTCCAACAGCTCTGAGAAGGCGGCAGGGAAACCCCAACCAAAGATCTCATTCTTTTCGAACTCGTGCTGCTGGAACAGCCTTGTCTCGTCGAACCACAGGTCACGCATCTTTATGTCCCAAGTCTGTTCTTCACCCTGAATAGCTCTTCACCCAAGACTTCTTGACTTCCACGTTCAACACAATCATCCAGAATCATACCTAGGTCAAGTCCACCCCAGTCGTCCACTAAGTCACGATTCAATCAGCTCTCAGCGTCGAGCCCCGTGTCCAGATTCGTGACGGTGAGCTGGCGCAAGTGCACCTCGCAGCTCCAGCAGCTCAGCTCCGGGCTCCGGGCGGGTCAGTTGTTCCACACAGCGCGGGTCAGTGGTTCGAACAAACATGGCCCTCACGGCCCGTCATGGTGAATCCCCAGGTCCCGCCCAGCACACGAGCTTCCGAGTGACGAGAAGAAATCTGATTCAAAGTTGTCTGAGAAAACCAACCACATAATACCATCCCTCTGCAAACCACGACATGGTTATTTACACAGAACGCGCATTTTGTGGTAGTCATCGCTCACTTTTCGGCAAGTCTTCCCTGTGCCCACATCGTATCTCCGCCCGCTTCGAGCCTCCTGTGGTTCGGGCCATGCAATGCCAAACTTTCGGATGGGCGTCGTGCACGTCATGAAGGTGTGGTTCCGAACTGGGCCGCAAAGTGAACAGCATACAAAGCCACAAACCCCACAAAGAGAAATCCTCACCAGCAAACCCGCCAGCAAATGACAACTCAGCCAAACAGCCAGCCAGCCAACATCACGTTCAGAGTCATAGCCATAGCCGAAAAGAACAACTTGCGCAAAATCGAAAGACGACTTCCCAACCTTCATGTTGATAGATGTCAGCACCACTGAAGAAAATGGAAGGCTCATCGCTGGTCGTTCCAGTGCTGCTGTACCTGTCCAGTGACAAGTCCAAACGCCGTCCGTTCCTTTGCTAAAAGCCCAGTCATTCCCCCACCTCCGGTTGTGCCGGAGATGTCCCAAGAACCGTCACAGTGTCGAAAGAATTGAGCGAAAAACAGCGCTCAGGCAAGGACCAAGTCGTCTCAGTCTGAGTGCCATCTTCAGAGGTGTTGTAGGTGATCTGTGTGTAGGCACAGTCTGGATGTCCCAGGTTAAACCTGAAAAAAAATGCGCACACATGCGCACACGTGTTTACTTCTTGCACTTCTTGGAATTCAAGCTTCAATTTACGTTCCAAAAACGACAAGGCCAAGAAGCGCATCTGCCCAGGACGTATAGGAGTCTGCAGTTCCAGTCAGCGTGCCGTCCAGATCCCACAAAATGTCCTGGGGTGAGCGGGCTCACCAGGGACTGCGGAATCTGATTGGGATTGAATGGGATACCAATCTGAACATAAGGATAACAAGGACATCTTTGTGGGAGGCCTGGTTCGGGCAAGGGCCAAACTCTCCGTGATCTTGAGTCTCTTGAGTGAGCAATACAGTCAGCATCTTGGTATCTATCTTGTCTGGTACCTCTGCATGGTGCGGCCTAGTCAGACTGGAGAACCGAAGCCGGTTTCAAAAGGGCTTACACCCCAACCCAAGAACTGAAAGCAAGCAAACGCAAAGTATGTGCCGATGTGTCAAGGGTGCTATCGAGAGCCTATGTTCAGAATTTATGATCCCTGTGTCGATGCACACCTGGCTCACCCCCGAGTCTCAAACCACATCCTCCCTGTCCTTCTTGTAGACTTGGATTCTCCTGGTGGCGTTGGTGAAGCCTGGGTACCGGGAAATGCCCGATCGGGAAATGCTCTTCAGCCCAAGACAGAGGGGGGGAGACTCATGCTCTTCAGCTCAATTGCCACTGCTCGATGCCAAGGGGCTAAGCCCCTTGAAGCGGTAGGTGTGGGCTCCCTGTCGCCATTTGACAAATGACCTTGGCACTATGGCAAAAGGGTGAAGGAGAGAAGAAAGCTGCATTGAATTAGCTATTATTTGGAGTGTTCTATACCTGACAAAACCCTCAGCTATCTGCACTGTGTTCGATAAAGCTGATCTAGTAACTAGAATAAGATAGTATAGTATTAGTATGTATTAGTATTGCTTCACCGAGAAAAAACAAAACATGTGATGTTGATCACCAGAAAAGTGTTTTATATAGCAGTTCAAAGCAAAACTGATAACAAAATATAACAAAACTCTCAACCGAAAACCTTCGCTCAGAGCATCGCCAGCACTTCGCACAGCCCTTGAAGACCGGTGTCTGAAGCGAGGGAGTGCGGAAAGAAAAGACATGTGTTTCTGCGGTGTTTGCCGCGTGCTCCACGAAGTTCACGCACCAGTTGAAAGGGATGGGCAACAAAATCTGGGCGCCAAACTAGATAACTAGGCAAGCCATCCTCCATTCTCTTTTCATTGCTTACCTTCACCTCTTCACCTCCCAGCATTCTGTCAACATGCCTCTCCGGTGTTCACCCACATGGAGTCCGTCACGTAGAACTGCTCATTCTGCGGCAATTGCACGGACCTGATTGCGGCAATTGCTGGGTCACTATAGGTCTGTGTTCTCCGCATGCGCGCACATGGCGCACACATCCACACGCAGTCGACCAAGACCACTCAGAGGCTTATCCAGAGACGTATCCAGAGGCTTATGCAGAGGCTTATGCAGAGGTCCAGAGGCTTATCCAAAGGCTGTTCAGAGGCTTATCCAGAGAGATCCAGTTCGCCATGCTGCTTGCGCTGCCGTGCACCACTCTAAGAAAATTAGAAGCTGAATGAACCCATCTCCATTCTTCGCTAAAATCCCACTCAGCTAGCTCAGATGCATCGCTCCTACTCCTACCATTTTGAAACAACATCTTAAAGTCAAAGAAGGAATGCTGAATCACCTGGCGAGTATTGATTGCTGGATCATTGAGATTCATGAAGGCCCATCGGGACAAAAAGCGATGAACACCGCGTGGGAACCACACGCAAGTAGTCAAATGGCCATGGGCCATGATGTTCAACAACTGGCGCGACTCACCCGCAAAACGGTGCCACGTTCGCATTCAAAGGCATCCGCAGTTGACATCGGGCCCCCTGGCATGGACATCTTCGAGCTCTTCTTGCCCAAGTTCTGCGGCAAGATACGCACGAAGACACTGTCCTGGCACGAAGACATGAGTGATCCGGAAAAGGACAGAAAAGGACAGAAAAAGGAACATGTCCAGCGACTCGGGGAAGTTGAACAACCCTGGATTGTGCTATCTTTTCTTTCTGATAAACTTGTGCTGTCAGGTGTGTCCACTCGTGTGGCTGTCTTTCCTCACCTTGATATGAGGGATGTTCTGCCAATCCGTCTCGAACCTTGCACACGCGGGACGCGGATGTCAAAAGGGATTCAAAGCACAGTCATCAAGCAAGAAGAAAGTAGAGTGAAGAACTGGTCATCATGCAGGACTCCATCTGAAGCAAAACAAATCTCAACCAGACTCTGCAGTCGCGAGGCTTGTTCCCATGTGGTGCTGGAGCAGCCCTGATGAACTTGATAGACTCATAGTCTTGCCTTGGTTCAAAATGATCCCTCCCTCACAGGGAGGGCAAACATGTGAACGGCCAGAAGCGGCCAGAACATCACATGGGGAGGAATGTGAATGGGAAGAGGATCGTTTCCTCTACAAATGGCATCGTGGCATCCTCCGACCCCAGAAGTGTGGAACTTCGTCAACGAGCTGCCACATGGGCCTCGCTGCTGGGTTTCGTCCTCTGGCCCTTGCTTCTATGCTTGTCACATCTGTTTACGAGCGAAACGGATGAAACGGCCGATGAAACGGCCGATGAAATGGATGAAAGCGGCCCATCCGAAACCGCCCAATCGAGAGTCGAGCCCAATTCCAGCCCCACGACTGATCGATGTTTGGTTCCAAAGAAGGAACAGAAAAAGCTTTTCCACGGTTTCACCGTTGGGCCATTGTTGGCAGAAATTCTTGCCAAGTCCAAATAGTGGGATGACTTGGGATGTCAAATAAAACTGAGACGCAGGCTTTCCACCTTCCACGGCTGTCATGTGGTGGTTGTGGACCGAGCCCATCTCAGTATGGCAGCTGAGCCCCACAAGCAGCTTGAGGAGGTCCAAGACGAATCCAAATGCATACACTACCTAATCACGAACCTGTAGTAGAAGAGCCTTTGATGTTTGCTTTGCAACTGGGCAAACGTGACTTGTACATGGTACTGGCTCTGTGTCAACTGGCTTGTCGGCTCGTCGTTGGCACTCGCAAACCCCATCGTGCAAGCATCCGAAAAGGACACATGCAATGTAGCAAGGGCCTTCATGGCATTGTAGCAAGCTTTGCCAATTCCCCAACCTCACCAAGTTCACCCAACAAGAAGTGAAAAGGCTCCGAGAACTTGCACAATTGCCTCATCCATTCAGAAATCTTGCAAGCGACTGTTCATGCTCCGTTGATGAGCAAAAGAAATTCATGGTCCTGACCAGCTGCGAAAAAATATGCCTTGTGGTTACCAACGAGAGCTGAGAATCTTACAGGTGGTATTGAACAAGATCTGAGGATCCTCAGCACTGTCGGTGTTGCATGGCTCCTGGCACGAGCGACCGAGGGACCGAGCGACTGAGTGAGCGACCGAGCGACCTGAGCGAGCGATCTCCGGCAAGGTCTACAGTCTACAATGAGTCGATGACCTGGAGGAATTGTGCTACGACTTCGTGTCAGACTCAACAAGTAGATAACCAAGGGTTTCAAAGCTAGTAGATGACCTGGTAGAATGAATCAATGTTTTGTGTGTTTGAAAATTGAGACTCTAGAAAAAACTACCTTTCGGCGTCCTTGCGAGGAATCCATGTGAGGTAGATGCGGATGCAGCTTCCTGGTATCGGCCAACTGCACACGTGTGCAGCGTCTCTCGCACGCCATGCGATACCAGTAGCTTGAAGAAGTGGAAAGACTGACTTCGACGCTCTGACGCTCTGACTTCGAGCGCATGATTATTGCAAAACTGAGTAGAATGAACCGCAAAGATTTCCCTCCACACCGTTCAACTAAAGAAAGTCTGAAACCAAAACAAGCCCAGGTGACCAGGTAAGTGATGGCAACGGTTCCGTCTCCATTCACCAATGCGCGTGCCCTTGGGGCAAATGCTGTCCTGCGTGCAGGTGGAACGTCCAACGAAGGGGCGGGCAGGTGATGGACGTCCTCGCTCCCTTCTGCCAGGCTCCCCTTGTTGTCAACAGTGTGAGGACTTATGACTCAGCTGCTAAATACTATGGTATTTCTTGTGTTTACGATTTGTGGTGTTTCCTTGCTCCCTTGGCTGCATAGCATCGCTTCTGGCTACGAGCAAGACTTAGACCGCCAAACATGGCGCGCCAGCTACGCGCATGTTTAAGCAAAGGTCGGGGCGCAACAGCTGCAGTGCGTGCGCCCCATGCCTTGTAGATGTCCATATTGTGTGAAATTGGAGTGTCCGGCCTCAGGGAGAGTCGGACGAATGCCCCACACGTCCACGCACAGCTGAGCTAGTGCAGCTAGTGATAAAATGAGGGGTCAGACCTTGCGTTCAGTCGTTCAGTGGTTTAAAAGTGCAATGCAATATGTCTTCTGAATCCTTGAAGGAATGTCATTGTGTAGCAGCCCGTATAACAGGTGCTCGGTGCTGAGCAACTTTGGAAAGGTTTTAACCTAGTTTGTGCACTTTCAGTCCTTGCTCAAATTGTTTATATAAATACTAGTGGATACTGTCGATAATTGTCTATATCGGATCTTGTATAGCCACCTGTGCCAAAATTTCTCGTCTCCTCGACAAAATGACCCGTCAGCTTTTGCATGAAAGGCTGAGCATCCCATCAGCTGGAAATACCAGCCATCAGATCCAGTGACAGCGACCTGAGCTCACATGATTTTGCAAGCAAGTGGCCTACACTGAGCGCTCGTCCACTAAGAATAGAGCACAGCTATGTCTACCAAAGTGCTATCAGCTCCAACCAGCGGCTCCAAACAGGTGTTCCTTTTGGCTCCCCGGGCGTTGTCTCTCCAAACATTGTTGGGAGCTGCAGTCCAAAAGCCAGCAGGCTCCTGGATCGGTGTAATGCTTGGCTCCGAAGCTTTCGACGAGCGTTTTCGCTTTAGAATGGTGAACCTCCTGCGCTCCTGGTCACTTTCCAACATTCCAGACAACAGTGGAATAGCTCCCACCTGAGTCAAGGTCAGCTCTTCGGGCTCAGTCATTTGGGGCTCGGGTGCATCTCTTAAAGAGACACATCTTCCAAAGTTTGTTGGTGGTTCTATGTCGCAATTTCAATAGGCAATACATTCGGATTCAGTACCTAAATCAAACTTGAACAAATCGGGTCTACGACGTCTACAAAGCCATGTTTACGCCCACTTTTCTGGCTTGAAACTCCAAGCGCAGAAACTCGTGAACCCGCGACCATGACTGAGCGTTCGTTACGACTGAGCTGGACACAGCCAGGTTGCCTTCCAATGTGTTGTGCCTGGCACGCAGACCCGCTCGCGGGCCGAGCACCAAACGACCCCCTGGAACCATAAACAGCGAGACGAGAAGAAAAGGTGGCGAAGAAAAAGAAAAAGAAGGCAGAACAAGAATCGAAATACAATGAGCAAGCAGGAACAAGAACAAGAACAAGAAGGAGAAGAAGAGGAAGAAGAAGAAGAAGAAAACAAAGACGAAAACGATTACAAAACAAGAAGAAGCAAAATATGGGACTTTCATCTCAAACCACCTCGGCGGTCTAGTCTGAAAGCATGAAAATTGCAACCTGCTGCACTGTTGGTCTGAAGAAAAGAAAGGTCATCATCTGAAGCTCTAAGTGCGTTGCATCTCCATACCTGTTTCCACAAAGAACCTCAAGAACTCTCACGCAACAGTGCTAGCAATAGAGGTTGGCTTTCAACATTCTCAAGCAAACGACCAGGCTCCCGAGTGCTCAAGCCCTCCAACAGTGCTCTGCCCAGACTATGACCATGCCTGCTTTGTTCTCTTCTGTCTGCTTTCCTTCTTTCTTTTTGCTCATCCTTTTTCTAGGGGGCAAGCATGTGTCCAATGATGTCGAAGGCCACGTTGCCCTTCACGTTCACGTAGTTCGTGGAGTGAATGGCCACGGCCTCGAAGGACGGAAGGAGGTGAAAGCTTTCCCAACGTCCCGCCTACTAGTTGGTGACCCGAGTTCAGGAATAGACTTTAATGCTGCCAAATACATAGTCTTTGGACTTCCAGGGTTTTGTCTGACGAGAGGAAAACACTCCTTCTCATTCCCCTCCAACCCAAACACCCAAATCAAGTTGACAACATGGGTCGGATTGTTACCCCTGAAATCATCTATCTAAATTGCAACACTAGAAAGCCTTATTAATCGTTATTATATTGTCCATCAGGCCTTCTAGTTGTTGCTTCCCAATCTCCGCAAGCAAGTGTCCAAGGAAAATGGTGAATCAATTCTGTCTAGCCTTCATCACATGTCAAGTCATTCAAAGCCGAACCATCCTCAGCCTCGATCAAAAGCCCGCACGTCTTCGATTTCCTCCGTCTATCTATCCGTGTCCACTTCGTGTCCACTTCGTGTCCACCGGGTCCCGACGCCGGTCCCGACCGGATCCGAGTCACTCGTTGGAAACTGTGGTGAATGGAGTTGTAGCGTGCGTAGCAGTTCTGTCCGTAGTCCTCGCAGTGAGAGTACGGTGAGAGTACAGTTCAAAGCCGGTCTATCGCAGTGGAGGCTTATGGTGGTCAATTGCAGTCCTGCGTGATGTGGAAGTGGATCGGGTACCTGCAAAACTGCTGCAAACGTGCCCAGACATGTGGTGGCAAAGATTCAAAGCTTGCGACGCCAAAGCGACCACTGAATATGTAGTGAGAACGGTCTACGGTCTGACAAGCTTGGGACGGAAGTTGAAGCCATGACCCTTCTCGTCACATGATTTTCATGCCAACAGTTGTTCATTGGGCCTTGACACCTCACCTGTCTGGCCCAAGCGATAGAACCTGAAGTGGCTGAAGCGGGCTCACAGTCCAGCAAGCCCGAAGAGTCTTCCAAGGAATTGGCAGGTAGATGGCCAATTCCAAGGACCCATCGAAAGAACGGTTTGCATTCCACTAAAATCAACTAGATGCTCTTGCACTCCACATAGTCACAAGATGTCACAAGACTCACCTATAGAGTGATGAGGATTTCAGGGAACTGAAGTTGCACTGGTACAAGTACAAATCAGTTTCCAAGGGCATTCTTATCATCGATGTGATCAGTGCACCAGTGTTTGGCATCACTGTCGCGTTGGTTGGTTCTCAGCATCCCAGCTCAGCATTCTCAATCCTGTAAATGCCACCAAAGGCAACCTCAGCACGTTCCACACATCGCATCTGATCGCGTTCCCTTGTCACCAACCACGCCCTCTGCCCGAGAGCAGCACCATGGTGTGTCCGCCCCATTGGTCACGCTCAGAGTGATACCTGGCGAGACAGTCATCTCAGCGAATGCATAGGTCATTGAGGCAAGTGGTTCCCCAAAAATGGTACTCAACCTGAAGAACTACAAGGTGATCGCAATCTCTTGCACCAATAGGCTGCGGGACCCGAGGTTTTGACACCAAGGTCAAGCTGCTCATCCTATGTCAAGCAGATCTTGGCTTCGGGCCCTTCTCCCTGAATTTTCACATTCCTTGAGAGGAGAGCCACCTCAGGACGAAGAGACGTCACACCAGCCAGGCTTTCATACAGACATGGTCTCATATTTCGGCCAGGCGTTCATGCCAGAAAATCTGTGCCGGATCCCGTGTCGTGAAGCCATTATTCAAAGATACAAGACATTGACTGAGAGCACTGGAGCTTTGGGTCAAGTGAGCCAAATCTGAAACAAAAACGCGTCAACCTCAAGTGTGCCTCGGCGGAGAGGTCGATGAACTCATCGTCCAACGGTCTTCGGTAGTTCGTGGAGATGTGCGTATACCTGGCAGATGAACATCATCCAGTGAGATGCAGGCAAAGGAGGGGAGACTGCGAGGAGATTCAAAGACTTAGTCAGACTTAATGAAGAAAAAGGAGCAAACAGGCACAAGGACAAGGTGACTTCAGGTATCAGAGAGTGACTTCTAGAATATGGCAAGGAAAACCCAAGAGATGATGTTTCTTTTGCCTCTGCCTCTCAGCAGTTACTGAGGTTTCTGCAGGAAGTCGCTCCGTTCAAGGCTCCACTGGGGATCCCAACTTCAATGGAGTTGTCAAGGTGATGGTCTTCATATCCGTCGCGACGCTTTGAATATACACGCGCCTGAAATGGACTGAGTTCTGGGGGTGCAAAGTGGGGCTCAGCTTCTTGCCCGCCCTGGCACAGCTTGGATGTTGTTCACATCTGGATCCAAAAGATGTATCGATGATGGTCTTCAGCGTCAACTTGCAGATTTCATGTGTTTTGTGGGAATACCGTCAACTTGAGGTATCTACAGACCTGGAAAACAAGAATACACCGGTACAAGAAACAAAGGAGAAAAACGGCCAAGTGCAAGGCTCATTGTGGAAATCAACAGGCCTTAGCTCTTCACCAGTTGTTTTTCTTCTGCGCCGAGAGAACATCGAAGGGGTTTCGAAGAGATTTCGATCAAATGTGTGTTTTCATACCATGTTTTGTTTATTGTTTTTGTCCTCTTTTGTTTTTGGGGCCACGCCTCGAAAGCTCCGAGAAAAAACATTATGCAAAGACAGAATGCTCTGAGGTGTCTTTTGGAAAAACTCAAAAACATGCCCGGTCGCACCAAACTCAGATCGCCACGGTGCTCCATGCAATCCGTTGCCATTGAAATGCTTGTGAGGGATGTCAGTGGCCTCAGCCCCAAGCGGTGGGAATGAGACTGAAAACGGCACCTTTACCCTGATGAGTTGCATTTGGGAGAGGGAATCTCCGTGGTTTTTCAGCGGCATTGGGGGCATGGCATAGCTTGTATCCAATGCAATGAAATCATTCTAAACCCTGCATTTCCTTGGTCTGCTCCTGTACCATGCACAGGGCCACAATGGGGCCAAAGGTTGGAGTCAAAGTAGAACATGGCAATCACTGCAACCAAACGAGCTGCTCGAGCGACCTGTGCGATGACATTGATTGCCACTCTGCCTGCGAAGCCTCTCTGCTAAGCCTATGGCAGCGACCATCAACTCCTCGCCCGCCTTCCAATCCACAATGTCCTCTGCACTGGACGTACTGAGCATCCGAGCATTGCATGATTGTTCTCAAGATATCATTCGCAGTGCTGCATCTTTCACCAATATATCTCGAACCCCGAGATAAGTAATACAAATAAAATATAGCGGAAGCAAAGGAACAATTGTACAACTGTTTCATGTCCAAATGTTCCAAACAATCCTTTTCACAAGATTCATCTTGGCGGGCGCTCTGGAAGCCGAATCAACAAATGATGTTATCGAGTTTCTCCAAGAGATGTGACCGCAACGGCTCAATGCTCGCAGAAACACTTGTCAGTGCTGATCAAAAAAAACAACGCTGTGTTTTCTCAGTGCTTTTGGAAAGGGCTTTCCATCTGATAGCTGGTTCAACAGACCTTCAGCAGTGAGCAAGCAGCCCACTGACTGGAACGATGTCATATGTCACCTAGACGTCCTGCAGAACGATGACTGTGTCGCCCTTCTCAGCTGTTTGGGCCAAGCGCGTCCACACCTTGACGAGTGCCATGCGGAGCATGGTGTGGACACTGGAGTGGGGCATCGGGTGGCGCTTGGCGTGTGGCTTGGATCGAAAGCACAGGAGGATCGGGGGCCATTGGTGGCCACCATCCGGGGCCATGGCCATTTATGGCAGAGGCCACCAAGAAACACCAAGAAACACCATTCAATTGATCTGACCTGCTACATATCTCACCAAGGTGACAAACTGTATGCGCTCACGGTTCACCATTTACATGTTTTGCATCCTATACGGAAGTTCAGAAACAATCTTCCCATCCTTCCATTGGAACTTCTTCCAACCAGCCCAGCCTTTCCAGACCCCAACCTCGGCACACGACCCAACTACCCCACCGCGCGGCGCGGCCGCCCACCTTCAAGCGCGGCCTTCCATGGATGTCCAACGCGCCGATCTCAGCCACCGAGAACGGCGAGTCGAGCGCGGGCGAGTCGGCAAGGCGATCGAAGCGCTCGTTTTGATTCAAAAAAGGGGGTCAATTTATGCCAGCACGTGATGATATCTGGTAGTATTTACATGTATTTACTACAATATATCAAAAGAAACAGCAAAGTTCATGTCTGGAGATTCGAGCCATGGTTGTGGGGATGTGCAGTTGCCAAAATCCTGGAGGTGGTAAAGGAGATCCTCAAAACAGTCCCAATCTCAAACGGTCCATTCCCCAAGTCCACAAAAAAGGGGATGATGGGGGGATGATGGAGCAGGCACCGCGCTTTTCAACCCAAACAATCTGCTTTTTGACCAGTTAGGGGGTTCCTCTTTCACTTCGACACGAGTCTTGCAGCTTGCAAAAGCAGCTTGCAAAGAACCCCAATGGCATTGATTCTTCCCCTTGGCCGCCACACATCACCTTCCTCCACGGCATTGTCGCCCAGTTCCCGAATGGTAAACTGCGTATTTGACACCGCCAAGACTTTTCCGCCAATCACCGGCCTCAGCACGTGCCGCAGCCAGGGACAGGGCATTCATTTGTCTCGATGTGTTTCACATGAAGAAAGTAGCAATTCCCAAGCGGATGAAATCTCATCAGTGAAGAAGAAACTGCTGTTCACAAACCAATTCTCCCTTCGAGCATCCATCCGACAGCATCAACGTGTTCTTTTTTGGCTGGTTCTGGCTCCATTATATAGTCGCAAAGATCTGTGGCCTTGGAGTCCTGGAATTCCTATAATTTCCTACTTGGAGATAGACTGAGATAGACTTGTTGAGCCTTTGGTTGCGCAAAGACCAGAGCAAAAGATGCTCCAGTTCCCCAGTTCACTGAGGTTCACTGGCTCTAAGCTCCTCACAGACGAATGGTCTCATACTTCTGTCCATGCAGAGTGATCAGGGCCTCGGGTGACGAATAAGAAAGACGATCGCGGATGTCCTGTCAGGCAGTCAGTGGTTCGGGATAAAAACCCCAAGGGGATGTCAGAGTCAGGATAATCAAGATCGATAAATGCCCCCAAGATCCCCCAAGATCCCTTCAAGGAGATCTGACCTCTTGAGACCATACAAACCACCTCATCAAGTCGCCTCATCACCCTGTGGGGTTCCGCGCCCGGTGCAGGAACGGCTTCTCTTCAGTGCCGATTTCCATGGTTCCGCCCTGCCGACGTGTCCGACGAGAACAAGCGGTCGTAGCTGTCGCGACCATCGATCCATCGATTCCTTTAGATCGATCCACCGAAGCGACAAATCCATGAACAAACCACAGAGTTTGTAGCGCAGAGTTTGACAACAAGCTCCATAGTTGATGCACGGACATGGAGCATGTCGGTTTGTCATCATCTTTCAACTGGGCGGGCGATCAAGTATTTTGCTGAAAACCGTTGAATCAATCCTTTCAGCTTCAGTCACCGATGCGTGCCTTCACCCAAATGTAGGTCGCTTGCAAGTGGACGTCCTTGTTGTCAAAAACCAAGACACCTGTGAAAGAAGCTCTGGTGACCGTCGAAGGAAGTATTCGCGCGACTCCAAAAGCAGTGTGTTACAACTACATGCACCTGACTTCGAAAGGGCAAAACTGGGAAGGAGTCCTATGTTCCTTTTCTGGTATCTGGGTGTTTCTGGGTAGGTCTTGGAATAGGGAGACCTCGCAAAGGCTCTTTGAAAAAAAACACAAAACTGTTGTTGGTCGGCCTACCCTTCCCGCATTTGCGCACCCACAGGGCCGGGTGATTTCCGTGCACGGAAAAATCAACACGACCCCGAGGATTCTCTGCAATTGACCCAACCTCACCACAAGGTTGGAGTAAAAGGTATGCCCAACACAGAAAGTCCTTAGCACAAAGGAATAGCTCAATTCCAAACCAGCACCCAGTCAACAAGCCTTCAACCGTCAGGATCAGCAAGACTGGCGTGTCCTCATCCTCGGGACAAAGCACTGACAAACATGTGAGCTTTGAAAGACGTTTTCCCTGGAGTTGATGCGTCTAATGACAGCACCCCTTGGAACTCCGGGTCCGTTTGCCTTGCACCAGAGAAATGTTGAACCATGTTGAACCAAGTCTGTTCTATTTCTCTGAAATCAATACCAAGACCACTCACACAGCCAGTCAACATTACCCAAGACACGCCTAATACCCCTACAGGCTGACAAAATCAAATGAAGTTGAGACGTGTTCCCTGCCAAGGTTCCAAGAGAATCGCCTGTCCCGAGGGAATTGACACCAATGCATCTTCAATCGGCGGCTCCTGACACAAACAGGCAAATAAAAGAGTGTTGATTTGACTTTGAACCAACTACTACTGTTCAACAAGCTGACAAATGACAAGCAACCAAACCAGGTGTTTCTTGTTTCTTCGCAGGAAGCAAACCTTCCCCCTCAGGCCGCGCACCTGATTGGCCCAGGTATCCAGCAAAGACCATCGATCCAAGTAGCGGAAGCGTGTTCCCGGGCGGATCCATGCATTGCCTGCACCTCCAAAAGCCCAAGAATCAGCATCTTTGAAGCCTAGATAGTCTCTATAGTAAACGAAAGCCTCACTCACATGGTCAAATGAGGCGTCTCAAAAAGAGTGAGGACTCCACCAGCAAAGGCCCGATCATTTACAATAGTTGTTGAGCTTCATCTTGCAAGCTCTGTGCGTCAAAGCCATGAAAAGCACCATGGTCCCACGATCCAAGTCAGTGGCGCCTACACAACACCGACATACTGAACTGGGGGGTGCGCCTTCCACTGTGACCCTCATACTCGCAGGGAAAATGCCATCGCTGCGAGGCACGGTGACCTGAGCACCGTGACGCCGTCGACGTTGGGTGCTATTTAAACATCACAAAACGGAAAAAGGCAATGTCCTTGTCCAGGCGCCACTGGTATCTACCAAGGAAGAACAGATTGAGCTTGAAGAACTCCGAAGGAAACTCGACGACTCGACGTCCCTTCTCTTGATCCGAATTGATCCATCCATGTAGGGTGTATGACTTGGTCAACTTGGTGCCGTTTCGTCACCCGGAAACAGGCCCACAGCCTGCCACGGACCCTGAGATTGTTGGTGAAGTAACAACAGGACGTCCAACTTTTGAAGGCAATCCCAAAGAAAATACTCTAAATGATACATATATCATAATGCAATATAAAAGTACAATCGTGCTGCAATGCTTAGGAAGCATGGCATAGCAGTGCATACTGGGGCTTCAACGCAAACCACGCTGCTGTTGCTTACCTACAGGAATCCAGCAAAAAGACGTGCCACAGAAGGCAACCAAATCAATTGACCATATAACAAAGGACCTAGCCACTCGCTTGGCGTGTTCACTGTATCTCATCGTGACAATCACTGTATCTCAGCCTTGCAAACCCAGTGAAACACATGATATGGCACTGTAACAACCTCGTGGTGGTCAATGAGAGCACACTCTGCACTTCAGCAATCAAATAGTGCCCATTTGATATGGGCCTGCTGGACGATGCAGGGGTATCCGTTGAACTGAACCTCCACAGGAGTTTCCTGGGTGCCCAAGGCATTCTTCACAATGGCTCCGAACTGCACACTTCAGCTGCAAAGAAAAAAAACTTGAAAGGGAGAACAACTTGGTGGTCCAAAGATGCTGCATGAAAAAGTATCGTGAAAAGGTATCAAAGCAATAAAGGCACTGAATCTTGAGAATTTGCATGAATTTGCCGATGTTGAGACAAGCTGTAGAAATCGCATGTCACCGGTGAAATAGAATCAGGGTCCCTTTAAGCAGAGGGCTATGAGGAGGGTGGAAATACATACGTCAAAGGACTCAGCAGGAGAAGACTACACGAGCTTGAGGTTCCAGGCGTTGGCATTCGTCTCGTCCGCCTTAGCGCGAAAGATCCTTTAGAGTAAAGAAGTACAATAGAGACCCCCTCATTGTTGGAGGTTCTGGCAGGCACACATGCAAACCTTCACATGACGATCTCAAATGATGCTCAAAAAAATACAAAATGTCAGTGCCATTCACTGGGCTGTTGACTACCCAAGCAGGACCAAAGTTGCTGCCATAAATGGTGACGCTTCTGGCAGACGGCAAAAACCATCATACAACTGCTGACTGCTGTACAAAACGAACCTCAGACAAAATGAGACGGTCTTAGCTCCATTACGACTTTCAAACAAAAGCATAAAAATGCCAAAGAATATGTCGCTTGCCTTCGTCAATTCCGGAGGCAGGTTCCTTTGGAATGTCACAAAACTCCGGTTTGTACTCATCTGCTGGATGTGTGCCTGAAGAAATGCTAGTGCGTTTCCTACTTTTAGAGGTGGGTCTTGAGCTGTCTCCAAATTGTAATGGATTGCAATAATTAGACCGAAAAGAACATGTCATGTCATCTAGCTGTCGAGTGCACACTGCCCTGAAAGGCACTAGAGGTGTTTCATGTCCAACCAAGCTAACTGTACCCGCCTGTTCTCTTTATAATCTGGTCTCCTGCTAGAACCATGGGATAATTGTACTTGCATCTGTCCGGCGAGCAATGTCGCAAGCTCTTTTCCTGAACTCCGGTTGCTCGTCTTCTTGAGTGGGCCGAGTGCTGAACTCTATCTGCTGGCGAGGAAATCTCTACACACTTTGAAAGAAGGGGTGCATTCTTGAATCTTGTCATTGTGCTGGTCAGCCTCTTGCAAGTCAGTCGCTTTCCATGAAGTAGCAAGAACTCTGCCTAAATTGTCTCCCAGAATGGAGGGACCCCGAAAAACAGTGCACTGAAAGGCCAATGATTGGGATTCCCACTTTGTGGCATTCACTGGAAAAAAACGAACGTGACTTCGTTGACCAGTTTAAGCATCGCCAGTTTCGCGTGCCACCCCTGGCGGTGCCATTTATTGGTGAGATGTGAGTCACAGTTGGCCTTGGAAGGAAAAACGCTCAGTTGCCTATCCAAACCCATGGTCTTCAATACGATTGCAAAGTTTTTAGGTTGAAAAGTTCTCTCCCACCGATCTGTTGTAGAGAAACGGATGCTCATTTGCAGCTCAGGTCAGCACGTTGAGCTCACACTGAAGGTGATTTTGACATCTGCGTTGTGCACCCACCTTGAATGCGCAAGCAAAGCGACATAAACCCAACCAACGTCCCCAAAGTACAGTCGATATTTGGTCAACAGCCCTAACCTCATCTAATCTAGCCTCCCGCTCATCCACTAGCAACAGATTGAAGTTGTCCATCGCTCGTGTTTCCCGTTTCGATGCAAACTTGCGGCGAACCGCAAAAGCGCTGGAGCAAATCTAGGACATTACCGATAATTTGACTGTCTGAATTGCAGTCCTGGGCTTGGGAAAATCAACCTCTAGACTCTAGACAACCGCACACAAGTCCCCCCATTTTGAGCCGAAAGGTCTGGAAACAACTTGAGGAAATTAGACAACCTGAAACGGGCCCGCGACATACTCGGCTGAGGCAACCAAGACAACTGAGGCTTCGAACTCAGTCATGGTCTGTTGAAACTTCTCTCTTTGGTGGATACCACCGCGCCAAGCCTGAGCGAGCAGTCAAAGAACTCCGGTCAGCTGCATGTGTCTGGGATCTGTCTGAATTCGGGCATACTTGACTCTTTGCTGGCGGAACCTTGCACAAAAGAAAACGACGAAACCAAGATTCTCAGACTTGGGAACCTGTGAGCAAACAGTGCAAATAGATTCTGAGCTCATTCTCATGCAGCCGATGAAGGCTTGATTTGGGGAACAAAACCGGCCTCTGTGCATGCCTAAGGCTGCATTTTCCTTGGTGACCTTCAAAAGCTTTGGCACAAATCAGTTTTGATATGAAACATCTTGAAACGTAGCGGTGCTCTTTTGGGAGTCTCCATGTCCGTCCCTCCGTCCATCGTCCGAGGCATTCACCAACCTTCCAAGGTCCATGTGCAAATTTGGACCGGTCAAGGATCTCACCTGGGCGGCGGTCAAGGTCCGGCGGTCAAGGTCCCTGGGTCCCGCTTCGTTCGTTAGGGTTTGATGTGAGAAAAAGGCACCAGTCAAGCTCGACACCACACAACAACATCAAGTTGGTAAGCTGATAAGTTCGCTGGAAACACAAAGGGTTGAAAGGCCCTGGATTGAAACGTGGTTAGTTTGTTTCACCCACCTCTGCTGGAAGAAATCTTGCTCAACAACAAAACAGAACACTTTTCATGAAACTCTGAATCAATAACTCCAGCCAACGCTACTCATCTGTTGTCATTCCTTTCTTGGCCTCCCTGCGTTTCGCACGGCAACCTCACAGCTGTCAGATGGGGCCACCAACTGGCCAACCACCTGCAAACCAAAGAAATGAGATTCAGCATGCGAAACAACAAGACCAGTCATAGAATTACAAGGAGGAATCAACGGTTTCCAGATGGTTTCTAGTACTCCTTGTCTTTTTTGTTTGATGACAATCTTCCTGCAGCTTCCCTGCCTGCATCTCTTGCATCTGACAGTTACCGGAAGGAGACAGGAAGCGAACAAACCGTCCAGTCACAGGAGTGGTCAGCCTCAGCACAGCAATTTGCAACAACTCAGCCTAATCGACAAAGGAACAAATCGTACTCGCAACAAACTGACAAAATGATCTGACTCTGATAGAAGCTTTTGTGCCGCAACAGCATGTAACCGCTATGAAGAAGCAAAGCCTTAGAACATCGAGGACGCGACACGACATCGTTCCACAGCATCTTTGGAATGGACCTGGCAGTCTGCCAGGTCGCTTCCAGAAATCCAAATGTTTGGATTGCTGGAGTAGCTAGATTTGCACTCACAGGCAACTCGGAAACTTGAAGTAAGTGTCATTTGCAGGCTCCAGGGAAAGGTCACGCAAAAAAATGAAACAAGGAACTCTCTCTCTTCAGGCCGAGCAACCTCTTTCGAACTTCGAGCACGCAAGTATTTAGTTGGAAACAACAGGCCAGTTGCGCTGGATTGTGTAAACATCAGTCCAGTTGATGCTGGGCATCTTTGTGTGGCAATATTGCCAACCTGACATCATGCTAGGTGTGAGCAAGGGTGTCTGTGAAGGACTAAAGCCAGGGTGAAGCAATGGTGGCTTCACGCATCATGCTCTTGGCACCAAAGAGTTTCCACGACAAAGCTTCAAACGTTTGAAGAAACAACAGCAATGACCCATGAGTCCTACAGCAGTTTCTCCACTGTTATCCAAAGAATACAGCACCACAGCGACCACAGCGACCTCCCCTTTGAAGCGGACACCAAATGCCCTTGTGTCGGCCTCAAGACGGGAGGACCGGCTCCATCCACTTGCCACAGAACAGTGACTTTTCTGAGAGGGTCTGCCACTTCCAACGAACTGGGTGGCTCTGCAGATTTGCAACGGAGATGACAACGATTCCATCTGATTTGCACGTATGTTTACATGGACATCATCCCTTTTGGCTCGTATGTTGGAGGAGTTGTCCTCCATGATACAACAAGCAAAGGACATGCAAGGTACCCATACGCAACAAAAAAAATTCACAGAGGTCGTCCACATAGCAAGTCTTCGTCTCTGCGCCATTTAAACATCCAATTTTGAGGTGCAATTTTGTGAACCGAAGAAGTCCTGCAGCATCGCAACCCACAAATCATTCCCCATGCTCGGCCAAGCCCCACTTGAGCTCCCCGCTTCCAGGTGCGGGGTTTCTGCAGTAGTTGTGCCTAGGTGAAGTAACCCGGCTTCAAAAAACATCACTATCCAATGCATTCCACTGCTTCGCTTTTGGATGCGGAGCTTTCTTGACCTACTCAAGTCAAAACGAACAGTACTGTTCAGCACGGTTCCACCAATTCTTCAAACCAAAACGAGTTTGCCAAAAACTCGCCACTGTGGGCCTCTAAGTGTCCAACCCTTGCAACTCAGGCTCAGTGTAGCCAGCATCTGACACAAACTGTTGGCTGTCTGAAACGAAAAAAACATCTGCCTTCTGACTCAGATCAAACTAGCGTACTTATTGCCCAAAAAGGTCCGCATTCGTGACGTCGGTTTCGTCCGTCTGTGCATTTCTAAACCATTACGTGCATGCTTCCCGCTTCCCTGAGCTAGGGCTGCAACCTGCCCAACCTCAGTCGCTGGTTGCATCGGACTTTGCAATATCAACGCGTCAAACTGCGTGTCCACCAACCTTCACAGTATCCACCACGGTCGGTGGTATCCATAATTGAGAGATCTTGAGAACCAAGAGATCTTGTCATGGTTTGCACCTTCACCCGGAACTAAAGGTCTTCATGATTCTTCAATCACTTCTCTCTCCAGCACCTTCAGGCTTGGCACGCGACTCATGCAAGGATTTCCCCTCTCCGAGACATCCTGACAAATAACAAAGGTTTCATTTTTTCCTCTGTAGTTTCTTGATAGCGACCGTTCCATTAAGCGAAGAAGCGTGACAGGGAAAAAATTGAAATTGTTTTTGTCGCATATATAATATCAAGTATGCTGCCAGTAGTTTCCAGCGGCCTGGTGACCTTCAGTCTCTACACATTGCTCATATATTGCTGGAAACTAAACGCATATGCCCCATTGTGTATGTGTGTGTAACCCTTGGGGTCACAGGGATCCTTTCGGATGTGTTGTGTTGAATGTTGAATGATGAGCGAAGCTATGCGTGACAGTGGAAGCCAGGTCTGATCAACTGGGTGCACCTGCTTTGTTTGAACTGTTGCTCACGCTGTGACTCTCATCTTCCATAAAGGGCCAGTGCACTCTGCAAACAAGAGCGATCGCCGTCACTTCGACGACCTGTTCCTCGCTTTCGTGGAGCTGGACCTCTAGCCTTTAACTAAATGTGCCCAGGCCCCTTTCACGATTTTTCAGGAATATGGTCACCCATCCTGCCGTGTGGCAAGCGGCATTCAGTTCAGTACGCATATCCATAACTGTGTCTCTCCTCAGTGAGAGCCCAGGGTGAGCCCGAGGAGCGCCCCCTGTGGACCCATCGAACGGGTTTTTTTCCATGTTCCCCGGCTTGGGAACGTAGGTGTCCGAAGGGAGGCTTATGCCAGAGTTATTTGCCAAGATTTGCTGGATTAATAGGCTACATGCCAGAACGTGACCGTAGGGTCCAAGCAGGCTTAACGCCACAAGGTGGTCACAGCGACCGAAGCCTTTCTTAGGGGTTCATTGGAACCTGCCCCCACCTTAGGTGCACACACAGCGCGCGCTCCAAACCAGGCAAGTCTTCCTAGGTTTTTCTAATCAGGTTGGGCTTCATCGGTTCCTGCTCCATTTGGTTCCCCTTTTCATCCTTTCCCGCTCACACACATCTTCTTTCCGCTGTTCTTTCATGTCTTCCTGCCTTCATGTCTTGGCATCTCATTCCTTCTTTCTTTTGCGCGCACATTGGTCCAGCCCTTAGTTTGCACGTGCACATTCACATCTACTTCAAACCCAGGTTTCAGGTCGCCCAGGTTTGACGATGAGGTGGGTTTTCATTTTTTGTTCCTGTGCACTTGGTTCCTTGTCATCGCAATTATCTACACCTTTGTCCTGTCTTGTCCCCTTTTCATGTCTTCATCTTCTTGTCCTTGCAGCGCGCACGCATGGCACACATGCACAACTGTCCCGGCCTTAGCTTTTCTCGCCTCCCCTTGTGGGAGGCGTGTGTGTGTGTGTGTAACCCTTGGAGTCACAGGGATCCTGAGCAGGGGGCATGCGGCTATCACGCAAACGCACGCCAACGAAGCTATGCATGACAGTGGTGGTGCACCTGCTTCGTTTGAACTGTTGCTCACGCTGTGACTCTCATCTTCCATAAAGGGCTAGTGCATTCTGCAGACAAGAGCGATCGCCATCACTTCGACCTGTTCGTCGCTTCGTGGAGCTGGACCTCTCTTGCCTTTAACAAAAGGCGCCCAGGCCCAGGCCCCTTTCACACCCAGGTTGCTGTGTGGCAAGCGGCATTCAGTTCAGTACGCATATCCATAAGTGTGTGTGTGTGTGTGTTACATGCCTTGATGATGCATTGATGCTTTGGCGGATGCAATCAGGAATGCAGCAAATTTGGCTTAAACAGCAAGAACCCGCTCCTGACAGCCCTGGTACTCAACACCTCTCCACCCATAACCTTGGAAACCCAAGCAGCTCCAACTGGCTCAAGGAAAAAATGACACTTTCCGTCATTACGGTCATTACTCACAGCCTCAGTTTCTGAATCTGCGCAATCGGTGCCCGTCCGAAACTTTGAGCTGGCAGCCAACTATGGTGAAAGCTTGGGCAAACCTTGCTAAGGCCTGCACTTAATTCATCGCATGTTTGGAGTTCCGCAAGGGTGCCAATCTGAAACTTGCCGTTGATATACGAATCTGCCTGGTCGGAACTGTCAAAAGTCTGTCTTGTTTCAAGTCTCAGTCCTGAGTTGAAGGTGCTTTTTCCACTGCAGTTGCATGTGTCACTCACAGCCTCACACATCTCTCGCATTCTCTTCGTAACAATCTGGCTGATATATAGTATAGCGGTCTGTGAAAGTGCCTGATCAAAGGATGCACCGTTCAAGTTGCGATCTTCAAGTTTCTCTTGTAGTTCAAACCCACTGGCTGACCCCTAGCATGAAACCGTCCATGAGATTGGTTTGCGACGGCGCTCGCCTCCAAAAAGTCGTAGAGCGGATGCCAACGGATCTTTTCTACTCTGGCTGTCGTGAACTTGCCAAAATCTACACCTTACGGGCCATTCAAGTTCGTCATCTCGGCGCTGGCGTTTTTTCAGGAGGGGTTGAGGCGGGCTCAAAAGACAAGGACATGTCTGCAAAAAATGTAGACCACAGGTCACAGCAATCCGAATCCCACGCACAGCGCATCTCCACCCTTCTGAAGAGAACTATGCTCGCTCTGGCTGTGGATCCCTGCCCACATGGCAGTTCGTGCCAGTGGTTCCTGGTGGTCCATCGGGACAAACTTGATTTCGGTTCTGTTTTCTTTGCAACTGGTGAATCCAACTTGCAAAGTAGTCTGTTACAAGATTGAAGAGGTTCCAAATCTGACTAGTTGTTCCTGAAGTGTGTTTGGGCCAACCATTGTGTGGAATGGACTAATTTGCGATTCGCCTCTCACAGCCGCCGGAAATCAAAGGTCAGCACTGCTGCATCAAAAGAATGTTTAAAAGTGGCAGCCCCCACTCCTCCCACCACTTCAGGATCATCATCAAAAACAGCTGCGCAAGTTGAATGGCCAACCTCCAAGCGTGAGCAACAGTGATGTGTAACAATCACTTTAACATGATGAATATATATATATATATATATATGTATTTTTTCCATTGAAATCATTGAACACGCCAAAACAAAATAAAACCAATGCCTTGTGTGGAAAACATTCAACTTAAAAAACCGCTTCATTCAGCGAGCAAAGGCCTCAAAATGGTTGTCACCAACACCATGGAAGCACACCTGGGCACACAATGGTTCCGCATTCAAGTGATCTCTGCGTTCATTGGTTGAACTCTCAACAGCAAAGTGCCGGACCGGCGCTTCGCTGACGGTGCCTGCATTTCGGGTGAGAACCCGTGCCACTGGCATGACCTCGGCTGGCTCTGAAACCCGCTGTTGGGCCAAACTTGTGGCTAAAGAATTGCATGCTGCTTTATTGGCTGCCTTGCCAAATACAAGGTGTGTCCTGCCAAAGACAAGGGTTTTCCGTTTGTTTGAAATCACCCACTTGGTAGAGTTGTTTTTCCAAAAGCATCATAATCATCGTCATCATCATCACCATCATCATTCTCATGTTCATTCTCATTCTCGTTCTCTCATACAAGTGTAGAGACGCAGGCGGTGCAATTGAAGATATGATCATCATCACCATCATCAAAACCTTCAGCATCTTCAACATGCAGGCGCCGAGACGCAGGTGATGCGCCATCTGCAACCCGCCTATATAAATATTTGTGTTTTTTGGATACTCATGTGGTGTTCATGGCGAAGACGCCTACAAGCACCAACGACGCAACTATGAGGGGGTGGCGCCACGAAACGCGATTGCGGAGTTCGTCTTGTTCCGCACAAGACCCGTTGACAGTGCTGGAGCAAAAGAAGTACTACAACGTGGCGGCAGGCAGCGAGAGCAGAGCCGCCGTTGCCAGAGTTTGGAAGGATTTTGGCTGAGCAGGGACTGGAAGCCTTGCTTGGTTCGTTTTGAATCTCTGGATTGCTGACTGCCTCGGCCTTATTGTTGTTTTTTGCGGCAAAGGAAATCCTAGTGGTGGTTCTTTACGAGCTTGCCAGCAGCATGTTTTGGATGAGGCGGTTAGTTTTCACAAAAGAAATGAAAGAGGCGCAAGAAAATCAAAGGGGGATCCATCAACAAAGACCGTCAGCAAGATTCCGAAGATTCCGAAAAAGTGCGGGAACAACACCCTCTTCCAAAAGGTGCTTGTCCCTGTTCTCTCAAAATCTGATTGGTCTCTGGACACACCCATTGCTGAACCCAAACTTCAGGCATCCTAAATACAGAGGGCGATGGCTGCCAGAACTGAGTGAAGTCCATCTTTGATTGTGCACAATGGGAAGGTGCCACAAAAAATTAACATACTGTTCGGGATCCAGTGCTACTGAGGAGGTTGTATCTGGTACCTAACGTCCACACTCCGCCACATAAAGAATCTACAAATTGAGAACACAAAATAAAAACTTGAGCGGGGAAACACGAAAGGTAGAGACGGACCGGGTAGCTGTCGGGACCTTTTCTGGTGAGGGACTGTCTCCGGTGTTTCAGGAACGTGCCCCTTGGTCAATCATGGCTGAAACCAACAAAGCCAGAGAGCACAAGAAAGCTCAAGAGGAACACCGTTGCGGTCAGATTGCGCCACACGGCTCTGCAGAGAGGCTGCGTTGGTCGACGCTCGTTTGTGTAAAGGTGTGTGAAAACAGGCGCGCGTAAAAGTCGCAACGCGTAATCGCTCGCATGTGTACCAGCTATGGTCCCACGCTGCACGCACTGTGTCAGGATTACAGGCCTGCACGCGTTGCGTCGAAGCCGCAGTGACCAACCCCCTTGTAAGGATAGTGCACTGCCAGGGATGGACGTCACGCTATGGTGGGCGTGCTCCATGATGCGGAAGGGTTTCGCCGCTGGGGTATAAGGCTGAGTCGAATGGTGTTCCGCGACGCGAGGGGTTTCTCCACAGGGCTTTGCAGAGAGGCTGTGTTGCATCGATGCCCGTTGGCGTCGAGCAATATGGTCTGTGAACGCAGTACGGGCTGTGTCAGGCTGCCGCGCGGCATCGAAGCCGATTTGCGCGACCTCATTGCGCAGGGTTCGTGCTGTATTGCGCAACCTCATGGCCAGCGTCGTACTGCTGTGGCTGCCAAGCGCATGACTTCACCTTGTGTCCAGAGTGGTGGTAGTGCTGGCGACGAGGGGAGGGGACGGGGAGGGGACCGGGAGTGGAGGGGAGGGGAGGGGAGGGGGGGTGGTCGAGTCAATTGATTTATCAGTGAGTCATCACATGGGAGGGGGGGAGGGGGGGTGGGGGTGTTAGACATTGATCTACCAATCTTTAGTCGCGAGCAAGCTCTCAAGCCACTCCCCTTGCTTCGCAAAGCAAACTCAAGGTAGTCCTTACCAGGCTACCTTTCGTGAAAATAGACTGCTGCGAGCCAGCATACTGCGCCACCATCCGCAACAAGAACACATCGACATCAGCAACAAGAACACGCCGACATCAGCAACAAGAAACATGGACATCAGCAACAAGAAACATCGACATCAGCAACAAGAACACATCGACATCAACAACAAGGACACATCGACATCAGCAACAAGAACATCGACATCAGCAACAAGAACCAACAGCAACAAGATCACATCGACATCAGCAACAAGAAGACATCGACATCAGCAACAAGACCACCTCCACGTCGACATCAGCAACAAGCAGACATCGACATCAGCAACAAGACCACCTCCACATCAACAACTGACATCGAAACCAACAAAAAGAACACATCGACATCAGCAACCAGAACACATCTACATCAGCAGCATGTGCACCTCAACATCGACATCAGCAACCAAAAACATTACATCGACATTGCACACACACACACACACACACACATCGACATCAACAACAAGAACACATCGACATCAGCAACAAGCACACACTGACATCAACTACAAGTACACACCGACATCAACAACAAGGACACATCGACATCAGCAACAAGAACACGTCGACATCAGCAACAAGAAGACATCCACATCAGCAACAAGAACACACCCACATCTACAACTCGACGTTAACATAAAGAACCCTCAATGGTGACCTCAGCAACAAGAGCACATCGACATCAGCAGCAAGAGCCTCCGACATCAGCAACAAGAAGCATCAACGTCAGCCACCCAGAACACATCGACATCAGCAACAAGAACACAGCGACATCACCACCAAGAACACATCAACATCATCAACGAGAACGCGTCGACATCCGCAACAGGAACACAACGAAGAACATCGACATCAGCAGCAAGAGCACATCAGCAACAAAAACGCATCGACACCCCCGCACAAGAACACATCGACATCAGCATCAACATCAGCAGCAAGAAAACAACCAAAACCATCAGCAACAAGAACACATCGACATCAGCAACATATCATAAAGACCCGCACACGGAGCCGATTGCCGTCCACATCAACAACATCGAGAAGTCGCGCAAGTGTGGTTGATGACTTTTGCACTAACCGTGAACACAAGGGGCATTGGCTGGTGCTATACCCACAGGCTGCAGCTACGATCAGTTTGCTGCAAGCGAACATCAAGAAGCCGATGGTCCGTGACATGCTGGAAGCAAACAAATGTTTGCAGGCAGCATGATGATGTTCTTGGCAAGTCAAGCAACAAGAACACGTCGATATCAGCAACAAGAAGACATCCACATCAGCAACAAGAAGACGTCCACATCAGCAACAAGAACACATCCACATCTGCAACTCGACGTCAACAAAAAGAACACATCAACATCAGCAACCAGAACACATCGACATCAGCAGCAAGTGCACCAAGGGTGACCTCAGCAACAAGAGCACATCAGCAGCAAGAGGCTTCAACATCAGCAACAAGAAGCACCAGAGCACATCGACAAGGACACGGCGACATCAGCAGCGCGACATCAGCAGCAAGAACACATCTATCAGCAAGGAGAACGCGTCGACATTGCATCAGCAATAAGAACACAGCGACATCAGCAACAAGAACATCGACATCAGCAGCAAGAGCGCATCAGCATCACAACATCAGCAACAAAAACGCATTGACATCCGCGCACAAGAGCACATCGATCAGCATCAACATCAGCAGCAAGAACACAACCAAAACCATCACATCGACATCAGCAACAAGAACACATCGACATCAGCAACATATCATCAAGGAACCGATTACCGTCACATCAAACAACAAGGACTCATCAACATTGGCGAAGGAGAGCACATCGACACAAGCAACAAGAACACATCGACATTAGCACCAAGAAAGAACACATCAGCATCAACAACAAACACATCGACATCAGCAACAAGAACATCGACATTATGCATGGAAACCGCAGCAACAAGAACACATCGACATAGTGAGCAACAACAACACGTCGACATCAGCAATCACATGTCATCAAGACCGGCACACGGAACAGACCAGTCGTCAAGGACACATCAACATCGGCAAGAAGAACACATCGACAGCAGCAACAGCAACACATCGACATCAACCAAGAACACGCAGCATGAACAAGGACACATCAACATCAGTCAAGAACACATCAACATCAGCAACGAGAACGTGACATTGGCAACAAGAACACACAACATCAGCAACAAGAACGCAGCGACATCAGCAACAAGAACACATCGACATCAACAAAGCACATCGACAGAAGACAACCAAAACCATCAGCAACATCGGCAACATGTCATTAACATCAGCAACAAGAACACACATCAGCAACGCATGCACTATGACAACATCAAATTTCAACCTCTTGAAGAGGTCAATGGTACCACTTCAGTTAGCCTGCAAAGCAAACTGTCATCAAGCCAGTGAAGGCAACTTCGTTAGCTTTGCACGGCATTTTTGCATCCTCAGTGGTAGGTTGACGTTCTTTTGTCGGGTGTGTTTGCAGAGGAATCACTGCAGAAGTGATCCTGTGCAAGTACAGTCGACAAGTAGAGTTGTCACCACTTCTTTTGTTGTGGAGAACAACTATCAACACTTCCCACGAAGCTGAATCGGACAGGAAAAGCTGGCCAAAGCCACCAACTTTTTCCTCAAATGAAAAGAAAATTTTTGGCCGGGTGAGAAAAAGCAGGCATGAAAGCTCAGGAATGGCAAAGTGCATGGACAGTCCGGGGAAGCTGCCAACTTTTTCCTCAAATGAAAAGAAAATTTTTGGCCGGGTGAGAAAAAGCAGGCATGAAAGCTCAGGAATGGCAAGGTGCATGGACAGTCCGGGGATTGAACCCGGGGCCTCCCGCATGCTGAGCGGGTGTGATACCACTACACCAACTGCCCTTGACATGGGTTATTAATTTTTTTAAGTATATGTTTTCTTGTATTGCAGAAGGACTGCCTCCTGTTGAGAGGATACTTGAGCAAGCTGCCAAACCCACTCAAAAGACACCGCAGCATCAGCAGAATACCCCATCGGTTTCCCGTCAAAACCTGAACTGATCCGTCATCTTCGTGTTGGAGGTGTAAGTGAAGTTGGAGACAGAGCAAATGGTCTGTAAGACATGCGAGAAGAGCACGCGGTCGAAGCTGCGCAAGGTGGCCCATCCTTGTGTGGCGCTGGACTTCAACGTGATTGCCATCGGAGGCGCGGTGTTTGCTAGTTGAAAACTACTCCAATTCCCGTCAAGTTTGATCGTCAAGGTCACTTGCATTTTTACGCGGGCCTCGGCCCAACTGGTCGTATGCGAGTGTTTCAAGTCCGCGTTGTTTCTAGCAACATAGATTTAACGTGGAGCTGAAGTCTACCACCTCATCAGCTGAGTCAAGACAGATGTGCATGTGTGGGCGCCATAGCCATTGGCTCAAGGTACACAATGAACCCTTGCTGCAAAGCAGGCCTTTTTGCCTTACGACTCCCGAAGCAAAGCGGGAGGAAAGATGAAACATGCAGCACTGAAAGCAATCACACAATCCAGCGGGATCTTGCTTCACATCTTGCAGCGCTCAGGAAGGCGAAGTCATGCCTGCTCGAGATGGAAGCCCACTTCGAGTCCAACACATCGATCTTGGAAGTTGTGGTGCGCAGACATCAAATCTGCACTCCTGCAGGCTCGATTGAGAATTTTCGTGATTGGAACGCCTCATGGCACCTCGACCCAATGAGACTCTGACAGCAACAGAGCCAGCGTTTGGAGATGAACAAGCGCCAAGGCAATGATCTCCGATTTGATTGGAGCTGGAGAGAATGTCTCTGCGTCTGACTCTGGGACAGCTTTCGGTCAGCAGTAGCGATCGCTGAGCTGCAGGTCCGGCCTTGTCTGTTTTGCCAGCCATGAGATGCATCCGATGGCTGTCCTGTTCTCTTCTTTCTGCTCAGGGCTTGCAAACAACTGACAGACTTATTCACCGTCACATTGGCCGCTACACTCACCACGTGTGCGAGATGTGGGAAAAGTTTCGTACTAAAACTCTTGGCCGCCCCTTTCTCGCCTTTGCTATGAGATGATGCGTTTTTTTTTGTGGAAGCCAGTCGAAACGAATGGGAGAAGGCAAGCCGTTTGTGCACTCTCATGCGAAAATGTCCCTGCACCTGAAGCAACCGAGCAAGATGAGAGTGATGACAGCCGCCTGTACAATACCATGTTGGCGATTGTGGTTTTTGCTTTCATTTGTGCACTGAGTTCCTTGCAGATGATTTTTGTTGGTTGAGCAAAGCTGCGCAGAAGGTCAGAGCCATGCTCGTGCTTGAGTATGACGTGGCTCATGAGAATGTGCCGGTTGTTGAGAGTGGGGAGCCACCAACCGAGAATGTCATGAGCTCTGATGATGAGGAGTAACACCAGGGTGACTTCAGTGGGACGCGCTCTATACAGAGACTGAGAGGACAACGAAAGTGGCTGGAAATTGCAAAGATGCTTTGGACGGTACAGCCGAAAGTGAGAATGGCAGCATACCTTTCTTTGAGGAAGAAAACGAGTCAGGTGGCTGAACAGCCATTTCACCCTCATCGCAGAGATCCACATGGATGCGCGGAAGAAGGAACCACACCCAATCAGCAGGCATCGCACTCAGTCAGATGAGTCACGTCATGAAGAAGACGGAAGAGAGTTGAAAAGACTTGGTTGGAGCGCCCCACTCTGCTTCCACACAGAGCTCGCAAGAGCAAGAGCTTGTCAACAACTTCCCAACTTAGTTGCTGCGTTGCGCATCAGAGCACTTGAGCCTTGACCAACGAAGTGGCCCAAGGAACGGAAAGGCGAAGAGTCAGCAGCAATATGTTTTAAGTCGCAACTCAACTCAAGGCATGCGCGCCAGATCAGGTGTGGTATCGGTATCACAAACCAATCGGAAATGTCTTCGTTGGCAGGAGACTTGCAATGGTGCTCCCGCCCTGCAATAGCTGTGCAAGCTTGAGCTTTGCTGGTCAATTGAAATTCAATTTGATGTGACACCAAAAGGTTACACAAAAACACTTTGAGGTCGAGAAAAATGATGCAGTAACACTATGATGCCATCATGACCGCGTCTCTGCTGTCTTGGTCAGTGGCAATGGTATTAGAAGCGCCAAGAACCACCTCGGATGTGGTGACCTTGGGGCAATGCTCCGCAACAAGCCGCCGTGCATCCATGTATTCGTGAGACTTCATGGCCCAGCAGCTTTCTGCTCAGCTTCTCTCTTTAACTTTTCTGTCTTTTTTCAAGCAGCCTGGGTCTAATCTTTGCCCACTGTTGCAGCCAATTTCTTGTGCAGTTCACATGCTGTTGCACTTCTTCCTCCCTTGCACTTCTTCCTCCCTTTGCAAAAGCAATCGAACGAAAATAGAACGCGCAAAAGAAAGTACAAAACAACGTTCAACAGATTTGGCGCTGTCTGTCACCTTTTGTTTTGCCAAATTGAATGGATCGTCTTGGCCACGCGCATTTGGGACAATGCATTCCAGCCAATCATATCCACCATCAACCTCAGCTCGGTCACGCAACCCCTGGCTGATTGTGAAAGACTTTGAACAAATGAGCGCAAACAGTCTTTGATTGAGGCGCTCACCACTTCGCATGGCCGCCCGCAGACTGAAACCTCCACGTACGTGTCTGCGCCTGGCTGGTCAACTTGTAGTAACATTGTAGTATGTGAGCATGCGCATCTGTGCCCTTCAAGTCCACTATGTTAAATGTTACAAGAGTGGAACAAGGCCTCAGTGGCCTCAACCTTGTGTGAAAGAAGACAAAGCAAAGCTGACTTTGCAATAGCCGTGCTCGGCGGCTTTCTATTTTCCTCACTTTCAGCGAGCCTTGTCAGCTGCTGTTGTTCCACAATAGCACCAAAAGGGACAGCCAAACGATGAACGATGTGAGGGCGAGCAAACTAATGGTTTGCCACAACAGTGTGCACATCAGCAAGCTTCAATCAACATTGTAACATCCGCAAGCCTGCAAATGCGAAACCGGGAATAAAAGGGCTCTTGAAAGCCAACCATCTCAGAGAAGCCTCCTTGCCCAAGCCTGCGCTTCTTGGTGGTGCAAAGCCTGTGCCAGTCACGTTGAGCGTCCAACCTTGGCTGCAAAGCTTCTTCAAACCGTGAAGCATTGTGTTGCAAACACGTGCAGCGGGTGAAACCACAAAATGTGATGAATACATATATACACACAATACCTATCTATCTATCTATCTGTCCATCTATCTGTCTATCTATCTATCCATTGGATTGCATTGGCATTGCATTATATTGTATTATACATTATATTGTTACCATTATTCTTATTTTGTTGTTATTGCTATTGTTGTTATTGTTATTCGTATTATTACTATTGTTATTACTATTGTTGTTATTATGCTCGATGTGTGGACGTGTGATTTGACAATGCAAAAGCTGTGGACAAACACCCTCAGTCCCCCTTCCCCGCCGCCACACTCTTGGTGGCAATGATAGACGCTTGCGACCTTTGCTGCTACGTGCCCAACATTTCAGGACATTCAAGGATTCAACTTGTTCTCTAGGTCAGCTGCTTGTCGGAAATTGGCGGTGCTTCTTGGCTCAAACTAGCAGGCTGATTGGCTGATTTCCAGCTGCCGCAAGAAGAAAACCATGATGCCTCTCAAGCTTATACTTGAGGCGGCAACATGCGGCAACTAGTTTCTTCCGACTGAGAACTTTTTCATCGTGTTCAAACAATCACTGTGACAGGCAATAGTGGCACTCAGCCAAAAACTTTAGTGACCCAAACAAACAGCTCCACGAAGCACAAATGATCAGAGCCAAAACAAACAAATACTGCGCAAAAAACATCAGGTCTCGAAATCTGGAGACCCACAGAGGTTTGGCCTATCCTCTCTATACCGGTGGCGTCCCACTTTCAAGACACCACATGACTCCTGACCCTTTGCCGCCAAATTCTGGGCCCCCGAGCCACCACCTAATGAACTGCTGCCAGCCTGGCAGGTCGCATGTGAAGAGTTCTGACGGATCTTCTTTTTCAACATCAAAGGGCTTTTCGCTGTCACAAAAGCAAACGTTCCGCTAACATTGGATTCTGCAGTTCATCAAGTCAGCTTCACAAACCAACGCGTTCACCACTTTCCACCCAATTCGAACCCATGCCAGTCAAGACAACGATCGAATCTTGCTCCGATGGCTGCGCAGATGAGATGTTCAGCTTTGTGAAGAGCCTCGGTATATCACCATCACTGGCCATTAATCCTGAATATGCTTTTTCATTTGTGGGGAGTCTTAAGTCTCAGGATAGAAACGGAGCGGTGCCCTCAAAAAGCATTGGCCGCAAGAGAAGTGCCAGCAAAGCAGCTATAATACATAGCAAACTGGAGTTTAGATCCCAATCTGGAGAAAGCAAACCATCATAACATCAACGCAAACAACATGTGTCAGTTCCATGCAAGGCATGACCTAACAGCACCGATCTTTTTTAATTTGAAAACTCATCCTATGCTCAGGTCAAGACCACCTGGACTCCTGGATCTGGATGCCTCTGACGATCTCTCACTCGAGACCAGGAACATTGAAGCACAAAGGTGAAAGGAGGAGCTCGTTCTCGGCATGCTGTTTCATGTACAACGGCTCTTGAAAACTTGAAAGCAGGAGAAACACATGAAGTTACACACCCACTTTGATGTACCTGCTTGCCAAAACGCCTGTGACGGCTGGTGCGATTGCCGATGCGCGACAGTGTATGCAGAATGGATACAATCCATTCATAAGGCAACTTGCTTGTGAGCTGGGAGGATGTTCGAACTTAACTTCCACATACTAATGCCTACACAAGTCGGTTGTCATGGGAACGGCGCTGTTTTAGTTGTTCCGGCTGGTGCTTTTCATGATGATTTCAATCAACCCTCTGGAGGAGTAGCCACGACCACACAGATTCTTCTTTTCGGGTTGGATATTGGTGACATACCCGCTCAACATTTCGTTCATAGTTGCTTATCCTCCAACAACCATGCTTTTTCCAAGTTATATAATATATGGTCCCTTCATTTTGAGGGCTTACCATTTCGATCAATTTCAATCATATTTGCAGCTCTCCGATGCCATCAGGCTCCGATACCCTGACCTGTCTCCGTCTCAACTTTCGGGAACGCCGCAATACCTCGGTCGAGACCGAGAACGCCGCAATACGTGGTTCGGATCAACCGTGTTCTCTTGCAGAGTACATGATGGTTGGCTTCCGTAAAATCGCAAAACGAGGTCAAAGAGTGAATATCCTTTAAACATGGGAAGTCAATACAAGTCTGTCTGTTCTTGAGACACAACTTGGATGGGCTTTCGGTGGCGGCCTCCAGGAACGTCTCCCAAGAAGCAGCCGAGATCGATCCAGGACTGAGCAAAAGCAATGGGCGCAGCCGGACGAAAAGGCCTTGAAGTTCAATTGGAGTAAAACTGAAATTGTATGGGTTGACTTGTTGGCTATTTTCTCCAAGAGGAGGACACTTGGGGCTGCCCTATGGCTGGCTATGTGAGGGATCCGGCAAAGGTGCTGACAGAATACAAGAAGATCCTTCAACGAGTTGCCTCAACCCTCAAAAGTAGGATGGATATGGAACACGGAGGGAGAGCTGTTCCCCGACCGGGAAGACACACTAGTCGTCTAGGGTTACTACGTTTGATCCAAGTCTTCAATTCTTGTCACATGGAGAAGGGAGATTCGGTGCGGTGGCCGCACCTCACCACTGAAGCTGCGTACGGAATCGATGATGCATGGTACCTGCCGGCAGCAACACTCGCACCACAAGGGATCTGAAAAATGAGATTTTTGCACTTGTGCAAGCCATCAGAAGCCACCAGGCAACCAGGTCAAAAACCATACGCCATACGCTCCTTTCGTGTGGTTTTCACCACTCCAATCTGCATTCTTCTCAGTTCAGAGGGAGCACTCCAGCGAAAGAGACATTGACAGCACCTCCGGAGGGGTCTGAGGTGATGGCCTCGGCGACAGGGTGACACCGTGTGAGAAAGGCGAACATGTCGGCGCACGCTTGGTACTTGAGCCCAACCCAAAAGCGTCAAGTGGGGTAGAAATCTGTGTTTCTAGGCATTGTCAGCATGGATCAAAAGGAGTTCAAAGATGTTCAAAGCTATCTATACCCTTCCTCAATGTGCCTTGCTGGTGTATCACCAAAGCCATTTCAAGTATTTGTCCTCGTCACCAAGAACCTTGGATTTTATTATGAATGTGCACCTCCACATGTTTGAATGTACGCCCCCACATGGTCTGAATGCATTGTCAGTGAGTTGTTTTTTGCTGTACTCAGGAAGTAGACCAGGCTGTCTTGACTGCAGACTTCTGCACGACCAATGATTCTCAGTCCTTTCTCCTATGAAATCAACTTCTTAGGCTTCACATTCACAAGTCATTGCAGAAATTAGTGCCCCAACATCAAGCGGTGATTCAAAGGTTTGACAATATACAATCATTAAACGGATAGTATCAGGTCCAGGACCTTCCCAGTGACCTTTTGAGATCCCAGAATGAGGTCACGAAATGGCCTTGAAAAGGTCACTTACCAATCCTGAAGAGGTCACTGAGAAGGTCTTGGGTATCAGTTTTTGGTATTGTGTTTTGTTGGTGTGGCCTAACAATCAAGAGCAACATTGAGCATCATTGAGGACCTTTTTGAACGAATGGAGGCTCTAGAATCAGGTCAGCGTAGAAGCGCCATGAACGTCATGTGTCTGGGTGATACTCCACATCATGACTGAGGAGTGAACAGCTTCTGCGCTGCTGGACAACCTTGACAGTAAACAGAACAGCAAGTGCCACGAGCTAAAATGTTTTCTCCATGGTGAGGCAGAGACTTCTATACAAACATACATGCAACCTGCCATCAATGTTGTACACATTTTGAGGTATATAGACTAGTAGATTCGCTGCACAACTTGTGATTCTCCTGACCAGTGTCAATCGCATGATTGCTTGTGAGACTGCCCAGGCTGGCTAGGCTTCGAGCTGTTCAACACGGACATAAACTCGATCACCCATAGACCACAAAGGGTCCTGAACTGCAGTCAACGCGAATGTGAGCTTAGAAGCCTAGGTGGCATCTTATCTTGGGCAATCCAATTGCCCACTAGTTTGGAGGGGATATGTGATGCAGGACGAAGGGCCTCCCCTGAAACATGAGCCTCTTGGACTGCTCCTTGTCCTATCGAAACTCTCCCACTTGGATTTGGTTTGACTTCCGCCACGAGTTCCCCCAGAGTAGCCTCGAGCTGTGAGAATCTGGGGCTACTCTGAAAATCTTTCACCGAAAATGCACTCCTTCTGCACCGGAACATCGCCAGTCATCGGTTCAAAGTCACAATCGGTTCAGTCCAAACTCTTCGCGAATGGACTGCGATGACGACTGACGTGGACTGCGCCCCGGTCCCAATGTTCTCCTGTGTGGTGTAGCCCGAGTCCGAGCCCTCTAGGACGCAGCAGCTGTCCTCGCAGCTGTGGCTTGAGACGTGGCAGTGCTCTACAGGATCCACACTTCAATGGACACCTTTGAATTTCAATGGCTAGGGCCCTCATCCCCTCATCTCCAGGGCCCACTATTGCCCTGGACTCGCAATGGTTTCAGCCATCCTGCATGTTTGCATCGGTGCTGGTCCAACCTCAGTTGTGTATCGTGGATGTCATACATCGAGGATCAGAATCTCTGCAACAGCTCTCACCGAGATCCCGGCTGCAGGCATAGCTGACACATCTCAGATTTCCAGCCTGGGAAAAATGTAGCAAATTGACGCTGGTGAAGCTACTGAAGCTGTGGTGGCCAGTCAGCAACCGACTGTTCCCCGAACTGACTGGCGAGCTCATGAGCTTCTGATCTTCACCGTTTCTGGGCTTTCCCACACAGCGAGAGCTGGAGGAGCACACACCTGTTGGGTCACAACCCAAAAGCTGAAGAATCTGGATGGATTTCTCTAGCTGATCAAAACTGAGCGATCAAAGAGCTATTGGATGAAGTATCACGAGGCTCAATCCACTCGCTGGATGAGACTGGTCCCAAAGCCAGGAGACGCGGGACAAACTGTCTTCTGGTCCAATCTTCACACAGCCGCCTTCATCGACACCGCATGGTGTACTCTCAGAGCAGCAGCCACCTGCTATTCTGCACCACAGAGAGGGATGCCGAGATCTGACATGACTTCCAGAGATACCAAGCTGGTTTCATTAAGGAGCGCTTGAAATTGTACCACAAGTGTGAGGGCAAACTTTCCTGGCAGTGTCGCACAGACTTTGGTTTGCCTGTTAGAGGGAAGTCGAAGCCACACATCCTTTTTCAGAACTTGAATGATACCTGTTCCAATAAAGTTATACAGTTATACAGCACAAATGTATCAAAGTTCTGACTGCCCACAGATTCCGCAATCGAAAGTGAGCTAAACCATGTTTGATCATCTGAAACCGCTCCCGAACCAGAAACCCACCCACTGGAAAAAAACAAACATCCGATCACCACGTGGTCACTTCTGCGAACATCGAGCCCACCATTCCCCCTCCAAAACAAAAATGGTATGCCGAGGGTGCTGTTGCCCGTGGTCAAATCCGCTGCATCAGCCCCGCAGCCCACTGCCGAGCCCTGGCGGGAGGCGCCGTTGAAAAGCTTGTCCAGTGGTTCGAAGTTCGAAGGATCAGGATGCTTCAAAAAACTCCTTCGACATCATCCTGATTGAATTCGTGCAGCCCGCGGCCGGGGTTGAACTTGCATGTACATTTTGTTGCAACCGCATTGCATCTGTGACGTTCAGAAAGGACATCACGGACATCCGGATCAGGTCCATTGTCAGGATCCTAGTCGGTTTCGGGCAAAGAATATGACTTGCCCAGTAATGAGCAGCCACAGTAAACCGCAACAACGATTGATGACCATTTGAGGCACACCTCCAGCTTCACGTCAGGGTTTGTTGGCCTTCAGGAAGTCTGCAAACAGTCAAGGATTTGGTTTGCTTCAGAGTAACATTGGCATGACACATCTCCAGCAAAATAAGTAGAGAACAGTTGTTTATGTTGAGCCTTTGGCGGTGAGGACTTTCCATGAATGAAGGCATCTGAAACTCAAATTTTGTCTATTCCGTCTGAATTTCAAGCCCAATGCTGCTTCGCAGCTTGATGCCAAGTTGCAAAGTGTAGACCGTGCTGATCTTCGGGGTGTCACTGGCGCTGTAAGTGAAGAAGTTGTTCCTCCTTGGTATGGAAGCAAATGTGTAGTGTGTTGCAGCTGTGATGGACACAATGTTCTTTGGCAATGATATATTGTCCACCTTGCTTCACTCCAAATTCTCAGCTGAACTCCCTTGGAAGCTGTCCACTTATATATCGGGTAGGTCTCCTAAGGCTCAAACATAAATATAGATCTGCCACAAATAGTCGACTTCTGACCACCAAAACATGAACAAGTTACCATGAACTACCAAGTCCGAACATGTGCCCAGCACCACAACAAGGAGGTAGTCGACTAAAGCACGTGCTTGGGACAGCCATTTTACGAGCGCGGTCGACATGCACGTCGAAGCTGTGCTGTGACGGGTCATCAACTTTGCCAACTTCTTCTCCGCTTCGACCACCGCACTTGCTGCCGAGCTGCACCACGGAGACGGCCACAGCAGCGTCGCTCTCGGTGCGCCGCTCGAAGTAGCGGCAGTCCTTGGCACCTGAAGCGAGCCACAGCGAAGTGGCCACAGCGAGGTGTGGGTGACATGTGGGCGTCACCCATTCACACGTCACATGATGGTTGTGTGACATGAACTGGGAGGTCTCTGAAAAAATAAACTCAAGATTCACATGGGCGTGTAGCTCAAATAGGGAGACCTCCCAGGCAACGACTCCCTGGCAGGTTCGGGAAATAGACCAAAAAACGATTGGGCCAGGAGCCCATGTTAACTTTGTGAGCAGTGTTTGTAATGGAGAGAGGAGGTTCCCAAGCTTGTCTAAGCTTGTGCAATCTCGCAGTGACTTCTGTTTTGTGTGGAATCTTGATGGGATTGTGATGGTGTTCTCCATGCACCACAAGCTGTGGTATAGAATACTGATGCACCAATTGGCCTCCACAAGACTCAGTTGGGGCATGCAAAAATTCCAGCTTGAAGTTCTGCGATGTTCTTAACTTCAGACCTTTCTGCATTCCTGACCGGCTAAGAAAGACCTGCACACTATGCTGAATTCAGTCTCTTCGCAAACAACTATGGTCAGTTACAGTTTCACTTCTGCCCCTTTGGACGTGTGAGGTGATCTTGGCTTCTTTTTCAATCTAAAGCCCGCCAATTCTCAAATCCATTCGTTGATCCATTCTCTGATTCTTGGCCCCTCAGTTGCTGCGCAAGTCGATGGTCAATGGAGACTAGACTTCTGTTTGCTCAATGGCCACGGGTGGCCACGGGCCCCGCAGGCCCTGCCTCTCTGAAGAACTGAAAAAACACCCTTGCTTTCAATCATCCTCTTGGTGTCTTCCATGTGAAGCCCTGTCCAATCACCAAAACATACCAAAACTGTTGCTTACCATCTTCTTTCGAAAGCGGTGCTCGCAGTTCTCGGCTGGCTTGCTTCATCCTTCCCCCTTGATTGGGGGATGAGTTCCATGCCTGGGAGCCAATAATTGCTCGTCAGTTCAAGTTCTCTATTCTCTTGCATGAAAAGGCCCTTTCTTGCAAATGTAAAGGTTGCTCGCTCACTCTCTTACTCTCACACTCTCTCTCTCTCTCACTCTCTGTCTCTGTCTCTGTCTCTCTGTCTCTGTCTCTCTGTCTCTCTCGCTCTGTGTCACTCTCTCTCACACTCTCTCTCTCTCTCTCGCTCTCTGTGAATCCCTATGGAGCTGAAAGCAAAGTCAGCATTTTAACGGATGGGAACGACCAATGATCCAGGTCCCCGGACGTTGATCTTGGCAATCATTGCACGCCGTGAACGAAGTGTCAGCCATGAAGCATCGTTGGTACCTCCCCGCTTTGCTCAACTTCGCTGGGGGTTGGGCAAAGAATCTTGAACCTTAAATTGCGAGTGTGACTACTGATGGGCGAAGAATGTGTGTAGGAAAGCAGCTTCACTACTCTCCGTCATCTTCCTTACCCTCGAAGTTGAAGTTCACTCTGAAGGCTTCTGGGAAGTAGAAAGGGGCTTCCAATGCTTCTGTTACCCCACTTCGGACCACAGATTGAGCCAACTCCCCAGATCTTTTGCACCCAAAAGCTTCTCCCTCACCTTGCACTGAAGTCGAAGGATCTGCAATTCGGCGTGGTCAAACAGTGCAAAGCACATTCCTCCTCGGTTCACAGCACGTGTAGCAACCTCAACGGAGTACGAACACCCAACCCCGTGGAAGAACAGAATTATACTCTCATACGCAAAACTTTTTGAGCCTGAACGATCAAATTATTTGACAAGAATTAGCAGTCCACTTGTGTGCCTGCAGGTCACCAATTGGTGCGTGTGGGGGGAGCATAGGAAAGCTAGGTTGCCGTGACAAAATCCAGCACCCATATTGGTCTTCAGGCAAATATTCGCAAGGCAATGGGCTAAGGTCTGTGTTTTCATTAAATCATCTTGGGACCTGCCAGGTGATAAGGATCTCCGACAGTCAGACCTTCAATTCTCACCAGCTCGGAGCTGTTCATTGAGCTTCGGGTTGCCAACACATTGGTCCCCCTTGCCCTTTAAAGCTCAAGCAACGGCACTTCAACTCTGCTAACCTACCAGACCAGCAGTTCTCAACAATCGGTGTTCAATCCATCTCCAACATAGCTTCCTGTGTGAAGACGTTGTAGTCTCTCCAGTCATTGTTTCCCCTGGCAAATGGCTTGCGAGATCTTGCAAGCGGCAAGTGTTGCTGGACGCGAACAACCAACTGAACAATGAAGAGAATTCCTGCACAACCTCAGGTGGGGAGTTGTCCACCTTTAACAGTGTCTTGTTTTGCCATGTGATGCACAAGTTGTTTGAAACTTTTAGGATGCGATGGTTCTTTCAGGAGTATCTTTTAGTGCTTTAAGGTCTACACCCTACAGGAACCGCCGGAACCGCCAGCCTTAGGCATCCTGCCATTGAGTTGCCAAAGGCACTGAGGGGCTCTTTCGCGACCTGGCAAACACTCTGAAATGCACAAAGAAGTGTCACATCTATGAGCAGGGCTCCAAGATGCTCTAACAAACAAATCTGTTCGAACTGAGTCGGACCAAGAACCGCTCCAAGTGAGGCCCACATTCCTTCACTGTACTCTCTCGCTCCGTTGTCTCATTCCGCTTCAAACCGAACCTCGTCCCGGAAGTCGCCACAGCGTCGCTCGCGTCGCCCCGGTGCGTTCAGCCCGGCCTCGGAGTCCCACAGCATCACCTCCACATCCACGGAGCCGCCGCTGGCGGAGCCCTGGCGGTGCCGGGACGACCCGTGACCCACACCCGTCACGAAGACGGCCGGGCGCGGGCCGACGAGGGACCGGTGAAAAGCCGATGGCAGGATGGAGAAGCTGGTGTGTGGGTTTGGTGCCGGTGTGGCAGTGTGGGTTTGGGGTGCGGTGGGAGAAGGTGCGGGAACACATAACACTGCTTTCTACCTGCCAACCTTCATCTACTGGTCAGCAACAGTGCAAAGCAACAGTCATGACGTGCATCAATTACTTTACTTCGAGTGATCCCCACCATGACATTTCAATCATTTGTCTTGATGCCATAGTGAGGAGCATGTTGCCATAGTCGTTAGTATTGTAGTTCTCGATGTTGCTTGTGGGTCCTCGGGTTGTGTGCTGTGGTTGTGTGCTGTGTTGTGGTTGTGTGTTTGTGGTTGTGTGTTTGTGGTTGTGTGTTTGTGGTAGTGGTAGTGGTTGTGATTGTGTGTTTGTAGTTGTGGTTGTGGTTGCGGTTGTGTTTTTGTGGTAGTGGTAGTGGTTGCGATTATGTGTTTGTAGTTGTGGTTGTGGTTGTGTCTTTGTGATTGTGTGTTTGTAGTTGTGTTTGCGGTTGTGTGTTTGTGGATGTGTTTGTGGTTGTGTTTGTGGTAGTGGTAGTGGTTGCGATTATGTGTTTGTAGTTGTGGTTGTGGTTGTGTCTTTGTGATTATGTGTTTGTAGTTGTGGTTGTGGTTGTGGTTGTGTCTTTGTGATTGTGTGTTTGTACTTGTGGTTGTGGTTGTGTGTTTGTGGTTGTGTTTGTGGATGTGTTTGTGGTTGTGTGTTTGTGGTTGTGTGTTTGTGTGTTTGTGGTTGTGTGTTTGTGGTTGTGTGTTTGTGGTTGTGTGTTTGTGGTTGTGTGTTTGTGTGTGTGTGTTTGTTTGTGGTTGTGTGTTTGTGATTGTGCTTGTAGTTGCGTGTTTGCGATTGTATTTGTGATTGTGTTTGTGATTGTGTGTTTGTGGTTGTGTGGTTGTGGTTGTGTGTTTGTGGCTTTGTGTTTGTGGTTATGTGTTTGTGATTGTGTCTTTGTAGTTGTGTTTGTAGTTGTGTGTTTGTGATTGTGTTTGTGATTGTGGGTTTGTGAGTGTGTTTGTGGTTGTGTGCTTGTGGTTGCGCGTTTGTGGTCGTGTGTTTGTGATTGTGTGTTTGTGGATTTTATCTGGCAAACTATCTGGTTGAGGTCCAGCGGTGCACACTGCGATCGGATTCTTGCGGTTGAGGTCCAGCGGTGCACACTGCGATCGGATCCTTGCGGTTGAGGTCCAGGCGTGCACACTGCGATCGGATCCTTGCGGTTGAGGTCCAGGGATGCACACTGCGATCGGATCCTTGCGGTTGAGGTCCAGGGGTGCACACTGCGAGGGGATCCTTGCGGTTGAGGTCCTTGCGAAGGAGGAAGGAGGAGGATGAGGAGGCGGCGGAGGCGGAGGCGGAGGCGGAGGACGAGGAGGCAGCGGAGGCGGAGGCGGAGGCGGAGGCGGAGGCGGAGGCGGAGGCGGA